TCCAGCTGCCTGGTGTCCCCTTATGATAAGCTGAATTTTTTACCTCCTGGACCCTAGTCCATCCGAGATTTTGGAAGGAGAGCAAAAGTAGTGTATGCAGTGTGTAAAGGTATGTAACCAAGTGCTAGGGGTGTGTGGGTGGTACTGGGACGGGGCCAGCTGGGGAGTACTTCATCCTAGACATTTGTGGAACTGCCAGCCAGTTTTAGTACTGCTCTGAGGTTCCAGGCAAAGCACAGCCCAGCCTCTCCTGCACAGGGCCCACCCCCACTGCCTGCCCCTACACCGCCCACCCGCCCTGAGGGGAAATGGGCTGGCATGTTTTAGGTGGTGGTGCTGGGGCCTAGTTCAAACCTTTGTCCCAAAGATAAAAGTGACACATGGACACACACAACTCACACATATCAGAGCCTTGCTATTTTAAGAATGTACTTTATACAAAATAACCAGTTCATATGGAAATAAATCTACAGACCTCTGAGGATCAAAAAGCTTTTTAAAAAGTTCTTTTAAAAAATTATCCAAACACACAATATTGAACTAACTATTGAGGTAAGTGTCGCTCTCAGTGAAACAGGGAATCAGCAGACCACGACAAAATATACACAATATAAAAATAAATAGCATTCTCCTTTCCAGTACTGGCCAGGAAAGCTCACACGGCTTTTGCAGCAGGAGCAAAGAATCCCTGACACTGTGTGCCGCAGGCTGGTGGAGACTGGCCTGGGGTCCCAGGAGCTGTGTGCAAGGCAGGAGAGTGAGGTACCTGAGTCCCAGCTAGGGAAAAAGGGTCACACGAAGGATACTGAACGGGGTTCAGCATTTCAATAACTTACTCAACATCCACACCCCCTGTTCCCAACCCCATCCCACCCTTTCCAAAAACACATGCAGGACAATTAGTTGGTTATCAGGCGTTTCTACTTAAAAGTTCAGTCAGTCCCCTGGTACGCAGTGAGAGACAAAGACGAGCTGGGGAGACAGCCCCTCTAAATTTCTGGTTAGCAAAGACCTACAAAGCAGAGACACGTAAACACCCAACCTGGAGACAAAGCTTGTGTCACAGCTTCATATAAGAGATGACATGCAGAAATGTTCACTCAAGTTCTGTTTTCCCAAATGAAAAGCAGGGCAAGGCTTGGTGTCCTAAGGCTCCATATTACAGAGAGTCCAACCCACCAAAAAAGGAAAAAGGATTTCTTATCATGCAGCAAATCTCAATCACATTCTTAGTTCCTAGACAGTTATGTGAGCCTAGGAATAAAAGCCCCTGCCTGCTCAACCCAAATTCCCAGTATTCTCACTGGAGTGTTGAACAGAAAGCTATTAGCCGGGAATGCATTCCAGAAACCCCCCAAGGTGGAACAATCATTAAACTCTCTCTCTCTCTCTCTCTCTCTCTCTCTCTCTCACACACACACACACACACACACACACACACACGGAGCTGACTTCCTCACTGGAGGTCCATGCAGAAGCTGGCAGGGGTGAGTGGACTGACAGTCACAAGGTGGGGGCGCTAGCAATAATGCTCGAAAACTCTAAGCCTTCATTCTTTGAGAGCATGTCAGCATTCTGACACTATGTAACTGTCCTTGTCTTGGGACTGCTCAGGTCAGACTTGCTGTGAAATTTCAGATTAGGTAGGTCTTAAGAGCAGCATATTATTTATAGATTTGAATTTTCATTAAAGGAAAAAAGGGGAAGGAAAATCCAACCAAGTGGTATGGATCGAGAGCTTGTTTCTGACATCGGTGATGACCACAACACTGGGATTTCGCATGTTCTGGACAGCACTTTGCATCCTCTTTGACTCTAGGAGTTACCATAAATGATAATACAGCAGACACGTGCCATGGGGTAATGACACCAATTACTAATGAGAAGCATTTCCAAGGTCTGAGCGCTAGGCCCCGGTGAATCGACACTGAAAGCTGTGGTCTGAGTGAACGAAGGTGCACACACCCCCTACAGATCTTCAGGTTTTCAATGAACATAAACATGAAGAGGAGCATGACAGTTTTGTCTTCTGAGAGCTTGGGCTCAGCAGGAATAAAAGATTCGTGACTAAGAAGCTCATGTGCACTGACTGAACCAAACCAATGTGATTAAGGAGAGGAAGAGTGGCTTTCACTTTATTTTTAGAAGGTGGGATGGAAGAAGTTATATGAACAAGAATCTTCACATTTTGCCCTTACTCTTCACATGAATCTACCATAATAAATTTCAACCAACAACTACTTTTTAAAAGAACAGACTCTGAGGGAAAAACAAACAACAAACCCAAACCAGAAACCTTTCAAAAAGCTTTACTTTTCTTTCTGGGTTGTTTATTCCTCCTGGGTCTTAGGGAAAAAGATCCTAACTTATTAACAACGCTAATAAAGGCTAGCCAGGACTGTTCAATCAGACAGGTGTGCGAGTTTCCTCATTTCCCGTGGAGCCCAGTTCCCCGCTCCTGGGGACTCCTGAGGACTCCTGAGAGCTGACCCGAGGACACCATGTGAGAGTCCTCCTAGCCCGACAGCGGACCATTTTTAGGACCTCCTCACACACTACTTTCTAGTTATAACATATCACACACCACCACCCCCTCATGGAGAAGAGGGCAAATGGATCTGCATCTGTTTAAGACACTTGGGAAGAGAAGTGCCAGAGGAGAAAGATAGGAGAGAAGAATAAGTCCCGCTTGGGGGAGGAGTGCTCAGCAGGTCCCAGCAGCTCCATGGTCACATGTGCTCCTGCAGTCTTGCAGCTCCTGACTGCTGGTACCTGTAATGCACAACCCAGCTCCCACATGGGGCACAACCAGGTTGGCAAGTCTGCTGTTGCTCTTGCTCCCAGTGTTATGATACAGTAGTTCAATTCTTGATATTGTTCTTCCTTAACATTTTCTCACCTCTCTATATACTAAGAAGGCAGGCTCAGGATAAAAGAATTGACTGATTTCTTCCTATATTGTTCACAGCTTTTCTCTAGCAACAGGTAACGGGGTAAGGGGCTGGGAGAGGAGAAAAGGTTACCTCAAATGGGGGCGGGGGGAGGGGGAGGAAAATGGGCACAGATCAGCCCAACTATTGCTTATGGTCCACTCCTCCCCACACCCCAGGGTCCTTTAGCACAAAGCAATGCCTCCAACCTCAGCACCAGGGGAACAGACCCTGTAGCTACTTGTGTCAGGCAGCAGCCAAAGGCCTCTCTCTCACACCAACGTTCACGTGAGAAGATGAAGGCTGTCGGCCTTCAGGGTCTAGACGACTCTAACTAGACCTGAGCCAGCTATCAAGACCAGTTGGTCTTTCTCTCCTCCCTGCTTCTACACAGACACAAAAACAGGAGGAGTAATGCATCGGCCATGTGAACTTATCCTATGCTCAAGAGCTGAACCATGTTCTTCCTACAGGGACAGCACTGACCTCTTCATGCTTCCAAACCAGATCATGCCAGTGACCGCTTTCTAACCAGAATTAGGACCAAATGAGAACACAGCCTCAAAACTCATTCCACTTAAACGCACATCAAATTTAAAACTGGAGTCTATTACAGAAAAAAATCTATGTTTTTGCACATCACATCTTAAAGGCTCCTGTGTTCCCTACGCAACTCTCAATCCTGCCTGAGCCATGAGCCACAGTGTCAGCTCAATAATCATTCCCTTATTTGTATGAGTTTCCTTTACACTGGAGCTGGTGTCTTGGGTTCCATCTCTATAACATGGATGTTTGCAATTTGTTTCTTTTCCTAAATAGCATAGCATAGCAAACTTTAAAAATGATAGTTCCATGTTTCATCAAGGATGCTGGAATTGGAGGGAAAGATTCTAATGGCCCCTCACAAGGCTGAATTTGTAAGAAACTAGGGCAGATTAATATTATATGGGAGCTTTTCTACTATCCCAAAGGCATGCTTAAAAATATGCTATTCTTTACAAAAACCTGTTAATTTCAGGGCATTTTTCCTTACTTTTTTTTTCTCTCCCCCCCCCCCCCTTTGTGGGATATTCGAAGTTTAAAACATAGGAGTCCTAACTTTGGTGGCATCTCAGCTAAAATCAAATACAGAATGCTAAACAAGAACAATCCAGTGTAATTCACTTCTAAAACCATAACAAAGTAATTTAATACTGTAGAATTGTTTTCTATCACAGATATGACAAATGATTTCCAAGAACTTGTTCCTGAAAGCTATTTTAAATCACCATGACTTATTTTACTATGATTCACTTAACATGAATTAAAACTATATATACTGAGATATTCCTAAATTCAAACTGTAAATCTATAGAATACATTTTTCCTATTCAAAACTGTGCAATTTCTTTATTGATACTAACATATACAAACCTGAGTAGTCACTTCCACAAACTGTGATTCGTGCCAGAAAGCTTTGTGTGATGTCTACCAGATCACAGGCCCAGCAGGTCTGTGAAGAGGATGATTCATTTTATATTCTAATAAGCAAAACACTCTAGTGATCCCAATTCCTGATACTGGTTTACAGCTATCCGGTAGGGCTGGTGGCAAATCAGGAAGGGCAATGCTCTCTGAAATCCAGGCTCTGGGCCACTGGATGAGAGGCAGACTGTCTTCTAGGCTGACGCTTCTGGGAGGCTGTGCGTGAGCACTCCACCTCCAAACCGAGACACTCAACAGTCAGGGGGCAGTGCAATGGTACCCTCTCCGGCTGATTGGAAAGAAGGCCTTTAACGAACAAAGGACGGCTAGTCCCTGAAAAAACAGTGACGATTTACAAGAGTAAACTTTTTCTACCCTCTTCTCCAGCTCCCGAAAGTATTCAGTGTGACATGATTGTAAACAGATAAGGATCACTCTAGTGCTGCGTGCCCACCACAGTTAGGACTTCCATTTCTTCCACATCCCCACCCACCCTTCCCACTTATGTACAATACATTCACCACCAACAACAAAAATTATTTTTAAAAGGCAACATGAAAATTCTGTAAACTGGACCCAGCTCCAAACACATTAATACTACGAGTAGTCCCTTCCCCAAATATATACCTGAGTTTAGCTGCTCATGAAAGTTCAGAAGCACCACTCCATTCTTAAGTGTGACCCCCTCCCCCAAGTTTAAGATGATTTTCCCTGAACGAGAGTCTCAGGACTTAGAACAGCCATCATTAATTTCAGTTCATTTGTTCTTGACCATCAGCCATACGAGAGATTCCCCAACCAAGGACCTTTACAAGCTGGTGTTAGTCTAAGGAGTATGCTTCTAAGGCTCCAGGAAAGGCTCCAGCTCTTGGACGGCGAGATGGGATGCCCTGTGAAGGGGTGTGGCAGGGTAACAGGAATAGAGATGGGCAGGGATCATTTCCCTAAATTCTCCATGTTCCAGTCTTCATGTGCAGCTTTCTGTTTCCTTGGGGTTTATTTCCTCCTTGGACTAGCTCTGAGAGACAATTAAAGACAATTAGGCAAAATCAACAATTGTGTTGTTTAAAGTAATTCAATAAGCCAAAGAGCTGTACATGTTCCTCTCCATCAGGGAAAGTGGCTTGGTCTTGTTTTAGCCATCACAGTTTACTTCCAGAGGGTGGGCTATCAGGCTCCAGACCTCTGCACGCAGACCCCCAACCTCAGCTCTCAGGAGCAGTAGGACTCCCCGCACACTAGGGGATGAAACTGATGTTGCTGATGACAATCACTTCACAGTGGTCAAGGAAGAGGGGGAAGTGAGACAGTGCGTGGAGAGAGCCGGAACGCAGTGATTTGCACACAAGAAGCACTTGAAGGGAGCTACTTTTAAAAACCTGAGTGCGGGGGCACCTGGATGGCTCGGTGGGTTGGGGCCTCTGCCTTCAGCTCAGGTCATGATCCCGGGATCCTGGGATCGAGCCCCGCATCGGGCTCTCTGCTCAGCAGGGAGCCTGCTTCCTCCTCTCTCTCTGTCTGCCTCTCTGCCTACTTTGTGATCTCTGTCAAATGAATAAATGGAATCTTTAAAAACAAACAAACAACCTGAGTGCGTCATCTCTCTGATGAAATAGGTGGAAAGAGATAAAAAATATGAAGCTACCATATCAAAATAAATGCTAGTGGTCAATTTGGAAAAATGAGGCTTGAACAATCCCCAAACAGCTGGTTAACACAAGAAGAGAAACACATGGAAACAATACAGAAGCTACTTCTGAGGTCATCTCGTTTTTTTCCCCACTGTGGAATCCATTGGGAGCACCCGGCCCGAGTGGCCCTTTCTCCTTGGCTGGCAGTAGGACATGATGCACTTTCCAGTTCAAGGTCCTCTATTAACAGGACACCTTAAAAGATTTTCTCAGAGTCACAATAAACTCACAATGAACATTTCCTACTCCCTGGAATCACAACAGAAGTTCTAAGTTTTGATAATTTTTACCTGATCGAGAGGAAGTGTGGGGGGCTTATGTGGTGGTAGCTCTTCCTGGGACGCTGCTGGTGCTGGGGTCTTTGGGAACGAGGACTGTGACTGGCCTGGATGCATTTGCATTCTATAGCCACAAGAAAAGAGCAGTTAAGAATTAATGAAGACATACTAATCAGAAAGGAAAGAGTTACTTCAATTACGAAAATCTCAGGCAGATACTGCCTTAATTATTTAGGAATCAATTATGGAATCGATATGAGAAGAAAAGTGACATTTTGTGCCTCCAGGTGTGATGCAGTCAGTACATGATACCACCTAGGAGGGCTCTTGACATGGGTTTAACTGGACTCCAAACAGGAGGGAACAATGAAAAGAATCCAAAATCTGGGACATCACACATGAGAACTAGCCTCGAATCTTTGAAAAGCAAAATGGAACAAAACAAAGATAGAATCCACGTTGTAAATTAAGAGACTAAACAGAGCAACCAAATGTAAAAACGTTAACCTTACATGTATCTTGGCTGGCGGAGGGGAGATAAAACAAACACAGCTATAAAAGACATTTTGGGGACAACTGGAGAAATTAAATAAGGACTCTACATTAAACCACTATCAGTGCTATTTTCTGCGGGTGGAGTAACAGTTTGATATCGTGCTCCAGGAGAATGTCATTATCCCTAGCAAATGCATGCAGTCATGAAGTCTGCAACTTACTTCCCAATGGTTTAAAAGAAAAGACAAATAAAACAAACATATTTAGTGAGGTATAAAATTAATATGGCAAAATGTTAAATGTGGAAGAGGTCTTGGGGGTAAGCTTAGGCTGGCACTAAAAGGGGCACATTAGAGTTTAAGTTGGATGGTACTGGTTTTGAGATTAGGCTTCATAACCTTAATGTAAACAACTTCATTTAAACTTCTTTTATATATTACTAATTTGAAAATCTCCTGATTTTCAACCAGCACAGCTCAGATCACCTCACTGAGTCTTAAAAACATCATTATTTGGAAAATTCTCAAGGAAACTGTATTTGACTTGTTTTAATTCTGGATAAACCTGTTTCTTTATTCAGTGTTAGGGGGAGAATTGAGAGGTAAGGGATAAAACCTGAACATTACAGATGACCTCCCTCAACCTCAAGGTTTGAGAGAGACCTATTTTATCTTGACCAGAGCATCTGAACTTAGCAGCAATGCGGACACCTCTGCCTATGGCTCTCCAACTGTGGCTCTGACGTTTCCAGTCTCAAAACTAACTGAACATTTACATGCCAGTTCACTTTCATGAGGGAAAAAAAATGCCAAAGATAAAACTGGACTCTAAGCCAGCAACATTTCTATTAAGTCTCCAGTTATCAAGGATTCCCACGCTTTCCTTGGACCCAGACCACTAAAGGTTATCACCTTCATTTCTAAGGCCATTTTTCTTTCTAAAACTAACATCTATTCTTTTCTCAGGAAAAACCAAAACAAAACAACCCAACAAAAAACAAAAACCAAGGAAACCATTTAACGTACTCTTACCCTGATGGTCTGTACATTTCCTGGAAAGGTCCCCTTATTCCACTTCCAGTGCCAATTTGTTCCATCATTACAGCTTGAAAGTGACCCAGGCCCTCTTCTTGGCAGCGATAGATGGGGCCTTCCTGAGAGAGGCCGTTGGGCTGGGCAGCCACTGGATGGTGAGGCGGGTGAGCAGTCACGGGGGAAGAATAAGCCCTGGGCTGGAAATGACTGGCGGGCCTCTGAGGTGTGTAAGGAGGCCCCGTCTGTAGCATCATGCCATGAGGCTGGAAAGTTGATGAACCAAATCCCATCCCTGAACTCAGAGGTGGAGGAGGAGTTCCATAAAGATACTCGCTTGCTGACAATGAGCTCTGCCGCTTGGTAGCTGCATTATGGTTGTCCAGGTCTAAAAACTCTTTGGGACTCTCTGGCCTCTCCATAGATTCATCCAGCTTGTCTTCCTCTGGACCAGGATTCTGCCCATCAGTTGAGACTACTTTAGCAGCCACCGCATCCATTTGGGTTGGGGAAGTTAAGGCAGCATTCAGTGTCTCACAGCCTTGCAGATTAGCCAAGGTGCTCTTATCTGAGAAGAGGGGCCTTGGTGGGGGGGCTGGATTAGGTGGGAGCCCACTTGGACTTCCTGGGGGATGAAGATGTCTCTGCCAGTCAGAAAAGCCCTGTGGACATGGATAATAAGGAGTTCGCTGATAGTGATGGTAGGAAGGCTGAGGTGGTGACTGGTAGGAATACCTCATTCCTTGGGGGGGGCGATACCGGGGAAAGACTCCAGAATGAGGGTTGTTAGACTGAAAGCCCCTAGGGGGGAAATGCTGAGGATGGGACACTGAGGGTTTACTTCCCATCACAGGGCCCAAACCTTGCAGGCCTGGACTGATGTGGTAATGTGTAGCTGAATTTGGGTATTCCAGGCCAGACATGTACAAGGGGGAAAACTGGCTTACAGCGCCTCCCATCAGATTGGGGTCTGTGTTGGGAGGCGTGGCTGGGTTCTGCCTTGTACATGGCATGGTTTCCGGTAGCGTTTTGCCTCTGGGGCAGAGTGGCTTTTCTGAACCACTACCACCAAGGCCTTTCCCTTCTGAGCCACAAGGGGATGCTTCAATAATCAGTCCGTTTTCGGGGAGAGCCCCTCTCTCTGCCAGAGTGGAGAGGTCTCGCATACACCCCTGGGAGGCTGGGCTGGTAGAGCCACTCTCCGTGGGCCATGTGTTCTTGCTCTTTGTTGCCTTCCAGTTGTCGCCAGATTCTGAGGAGTCGCTTTTGAGCTCTGGGCCCTCTGTTTCCCTTTCTTGTGGTGAGCTCTGCCTGGTACAGTCGGTCTGCAAGGGAGGTGTAGGGTGAGGTAGCTGTTTGAGGTACACCCCCTCTGAAGCACCCATGTTTGGTGGTTTCTCCTCAAGCCCAGGCAAGGGATCTGCTATAAGAAAAATGTAGAACAAAATAGTAATTCAGTAGCTGAAATGACAATACTGATGGGGATGGTAGTGAAAAGAACATGAAGGCAGTCAGGGACAGATGGGGCTGTGGTGGATATATGGCAGTTCAAGCATCAGCTAAAAATTTTGAGTCCCTGAAAGGATTCATGATGTTGAGGCCTTTGCAAACTCCTCCTTATAGACCAAGAAGTAAGACCTAGCACCTCTATAGCTACTCATAAAGTCTGCCAAAGAATGGAGATGTCCCTACCTCTCTCTTGCTGTGCTGTGTGAGCGTGAGGTAATTCAGGTACATGCATGTCCTTTATGGAGATACAATAAGAACCAGAACATGATGGATCTATATCAAGAGGGCTGCATCCTGACGTCTGCCCCATCAGAACGTGCGTTCCACAGCAGCACGGACTGTTTCCTTCCCCACCACTCTTAGTACTTGTACACGACAGAAATTTACTACACACAAATAAATTAATTTACTAGACTCAAATGCTTAATTACAAACTCAGGATTCTTTACATTGCTATTGTGTCAGACCAGAAATATGGTCTTATTTTTTATAATTTTTCAGGTAGAACAGAGTTGTTGCTCAGGTGTGATCTAAATACAATTCTAAAAACGGATGTAAAAACAGATAAAGACAAGATTAAAGACTCATACATTACAACTTTTAAAGACCCACTAAAATCTCAGTCAACTAATAAACTAGTGCTGGTTGAAAAATCAAAGGTAAAAGTTATACAATTTAAATCTACACTTCTCATTATTTTATCAACATAAAACATGGAAACAAATAGACTTATTCACAGTTTCATCAGAGGGTGAATTCCAGACCCCATCTGCAATCAGTATTAGACTGATTAGCTAGAGCTGGTGGTCACAAAACAGGCTTTCCCTCAAAACGAACACTTTTAAAAAGTCTGAGGGGCACTGGGTGGCTCAGCTGGTAAAGCATCTGCCCTTGGCTTAGGTCCTGATCCCAGGGTCCTGGGGTTGAGTCCCAAATCGGGTTCCCTGCTGTGGGGAGCCTGCTTCTCATTCTCTCTCTCAAATGAATAAATTAAAAAAAATAAATAAATAAAAGGAAGACTAGGTTGGGGAAGATGGCAGGGTAGGAGGATCCTAAGCTCATCTCCTCTCATGGATACAACCAGATAACTAGGTAACACCCATATTAGTATAAATAACCCAGGAAAAGACTTGAAAACTGTCAAAACGGACTCTCCACAGCTAAATGTAGAGCAGAGGCCACATCACAGAGGGTGTGAAGGACAGAGATGTTGTCAGGAGCCAAGTGGATCTTTGGGATTGTCCTCGGTGCACCAGCACAGAGAATAGGGCAGAGGAGATCCCAAACCAGGAACCCCAGGCATGGGGGACCTGAATGGGTAAAATCAATCCCTGTAACATTCGGCTTTGAAAACCAGAGGGGCCCAAGAATCTGGGGGCTTATTAACACCTTATTAAAACTCAGTGGGGGGGGCCGCCTGTGTGGCTCAGTGGGTTAAAGCCTCTGCCTTCAGCTCAGGTCATGATCTCGGGTCCTGGGATCAAACCCCACGTCGGGCTCTCTGCCTGGCAGGGAGCCTGCTTCCTTCTCTCTCTCTGCCTGCCTCTCTGCCTACTTGTGATCTTTGTCTGTCAAATAAATAAATAAAATCTAAAAAAAAAAAAAACAAAAACAAAAAACAAAAAACCCAAAAAACTCAGGGGGCTCAGCTCTGCGAGAGCCAGGATGGTAGAGTCCCTGCCCTTAAAGAGACAGTACAACAGTGCCACTGAGATTAAGCATAGAAGCAGCAGTGTGAAAAATACCTGACATATGTGGAAAGGAGATTTATTTACTAATGAGTGTATATTGGAGGGGCAGGGATCTTTGGGAGACCTCTCTAAGAACAAAAGAGGTGGCCAACACCATTTTCCTCCTCTGCTCCCAGCCTTGATAGATGGACACCTGCAGGAACCAGTGCAGGGCTAACACTGGTTACATAGCAGAACAGTTTGCCCCTCCCCAACGTTCTCCTACAGAAATACCCCCTCCATCCAAGCCTGGGCAGCTGCAGTGCTCTTCTGTAGTGGACGGATGCAGAGCTTCCTGGCACTCCATGGGCCTGTTCCTGCATTTTCCTGTTGACCTGGCACCTCCAATATGCCCTTGGCTGGAGCCCAACCAAAGCGGTGTCGCAAGCCTGGAGAAGTGCAAGCAGCCAGGAAAAGGACCAGCACCCCTCCAGAGAGACTCCTTCCCTGGAGAGAGGGCAGACAGCTATTTTGACTGAAAGCCATCCACACCAATGAAAGCTGCTCGGAGGACAACACAGGGAAAGCACCCAGCAGTTTGGCGCTACCTCACCTGTGGCAAATGCCTGGTCTGACTCAACTCAAGCCCAGGGTGGCACCAGACTGGCCCACTAACAACACAGGGATCAAACCCTGCCCACAAAAGGCAAACAGAGCCACTGCACATGACTGGACTGAAGGCAAATGTGGCTCAGTCACAATAGCAGGATGCACACAACACACACAGGAGAAACCCCTGAAGCGCCAGGTTCTGAACAGGGGATTGCACTGCAGGGCACTATAGTACCTCTTCTTCACAAGGCCATTACTTCCAAGAGCAGAGGACACAGCTAATTTTCCTAACACATAGAAACAGACACAGAGAGTCAGATAAAATGAAGAGATGAGGAGTATGTCCCAAAGGAAAGAACAGGACAAAAATCACAGCAAGAGAACGAAATGAAATGGAAGTAAGTAATATGCCTGATAGAGAATTTAAAGTAATGGTCACAGAGATCTTCACTGGACCTGAGAAAGGAGTGGAGGACCTCAAAGAGACCCTCAAGAAAGACAGAAAACAAAAAAGAACAAATCAGAGATAAAGAACACAATAATTGAAATGAAAAATACACTACAGTGGATTAACAGTACACTAGAGGAAGAAGAAAGAATCAGAAACTTGCAAGACAGAATGCGATTAAACTGAATAGGTGAAAAAAAAAGAAAACAGAGAACTCAGTGACAACCATTACATGTAATAATAATGACATTATATGGATCCCAGGAAAGAAGGGGGGGGAATAAAATTATTTTGAAGAAATAATAGCTGAAAACTTCCCGAATCTGGGAAGGAAACAAAAATCCAGATCCAGGAGGCACAGAGATGCCCCAACAAAATCAACTCAAGGAGGTCAACATGAAAACACACAGGAATTAAAAAGACAAAAATGTAGTGAGAAAGTTTTTTAAAGTAAGAAAGACAAAAAGAAAATAGTTATATAAAAGAGAAACCCTGTAAGACCATAAGCTCAATTTTCAGCAGAAACTTTACAGGCTAGAAGGGAATGAGAGGATAGTGCTAAAAGTGCTGAAAGAAAAAAAAACACCAGCAGCAAAGAATTCTAGAGTTTCCCTGACAAACAAAAGTTTATCACCACTACACCAAACCTATCAGAAATGTTAAAGGGAACTCTGAGTGGAAAGGAAAGACCATAAGCAGGAATAAGAAAAGTAGGAAGCACAAAAGCAGTAAAATGATCTACAAAAATCAGTCAAGTGATTCATAAAATAAAAGGATATGAAGTATGACTCCATATGCCTAAAACCTGGGGGAGTTGCGGAAGCATGGTGGCAATAAAGAATAGGTTCAAACTTAAGTGACCATCAGTTTAATACAGACTGCTATATGTAGAAGATGGTATATATATATACCTAATAGTAACCACAGATCAAAAACCAGTAATTGATATGCAACAAATACAGAGAAAGGAATCCAAGTATACTTGGATTCACTACAGAACACCAGCAAACCATGACAGAAGATAGCAAGAGAAAAAAGGAACAGAGAACTACAAATATATCCATGAAAAAAGTAATAATATCAGTATGTACATACCTATCAATAACTACTCTAAATGTAAATGGACTAAATGTTACAATCAAAAGATACAGGGTGATGGAATGGATAAAAAAAAAAGACCCTTCTATATGGTGCCTATGAGAGACTCATTTCAGAGTGAAAAACATATGCAGACTGAAAAAAAAGGGATGGAGAATTTATCATGCAAATGGATGTCAAAAGAAACCTGAGATAGCAATATTTAAATCAGACAAGATAGATTTTATATTTTTTGAAGATTTTTATTTATTTATTTGACAGAGAGACAGCAAGAGAGGGAATACAAGCAGGGGGAGAGGGAGAGGGAGAAGCAGGCTTCCTGCTGAGCAGGGAGCCTGATGTGGGGCTTGATCCCAGGACCCTGGGATCATGACCTGAACCTAAGGCAGCTGCTTAATGACTGAGCAACCCAGGTACCTGACAAAAAAAACTTTACACAAAGACTGTAAAAAGAAAAAAAGAAGGACACTACAAAATCATAAAGGGAAGATTCAACAAGAAGATGTAGCAATAGTAAATATTTATGTACCAAACATGGGAGCACCCAAATTCATAAAGTAACTAATAGCAAACATACAGGAAGTAATTGATAGGAATATAGTACTAGCAGGGGAATTTCACACCCCACTTATATCAATGGACAGATCATGCAAACAGAAAATCAACAAGGAAGGAGTAGCTTTTATTTTGTTTTTTAGAGTTGGGGAGAGGCAGAGGAACAAAGAATCTTGGGTCAGTTTTTTTTTTTTTTTTTTTTTAAATTTTATTTATTTGAGAGAGAGGAAACAGAAACGAGTGGGGACAGAGGCTGAAGGGCAGGGAGAAGCAGACTCCTTGATGAGCACAGAGCCTGATGCTGGGCTTGATCCCAGGAACCTGCAATCTTGACATGAGTCAGAGGCTTAACTGACTGACCTACCAGGTGCTCCTTGACAGAGAAAATCTTAAGAAGGCTCCATACCCAGCAGTGAGCCTAACACCAGGCTCAATCTCACTACTTGAGCTGAAATCAAGAGTCAGATGCTTAATTGACTTAGTCGCCCAGGTGTCCGGCCAGTGGCTTTTTGAATGACATACCATCCGGATCTAACAGATACATTCTAAACATTCCATCCTAAAACATCAAAATACATACTCCTTTCAAGTGCATATGGAACATTCTCCAAAAGAGATCAAATGGTAGGTCACAAAACAAATCTCAACAAATTTGAAAAGACTGAAGTCATACCATGCATCTTTTCTGATCATAACGTTATCAAACTAGAAATCTACCACAAAAAGAAATCTAGAAAGAACAAAAGTACACGGAGGTTGGGACACCTGGGTGGCTCAGTTGGTTAAGGGTCTGCCTTCAGCTTGGGTCATGATCCCAGGGTTCTGGGATCAAGTCCCACACTGGGCTCCCTGCTCAGCTGGGAGCCTGCCTCTCCTCCTGTCCCTCCCCACACTCATCCTCTCTCTCTCTCTCAAATAAACAAATAAAATCTTAAAAAAAAAAAAAAAAAAAAAAGAACAGATATTGTTAAGATGTCCACGTCACCCAAAGCAATCTATAAATTCAATACAATCTCTATTTCAACACCAACAGCATTTTTCACAGAACTAGAATTAAAATTTGTATGGAACCACAAAAGACCCCAAATAGGCAAAGCAGTCAGGACAAAGAAAAACAAAGCTGGAGCTGTCCCAGTCCCAGATATCAAGCTATACTACAAAGTGGTCATAACCAAAACAGAATCATAGTGGCACAAAAAAAGACACATAGATCAGAGGAACAAAACAGCCCAGAAATGAACCCACCATTATATGGTGAATTAATCCTTCACAAAGGAGGCAAGGATATGCAATGTGAAAAAGACAGTCTCTTCAACAAACGGTGCTCAGAGAACTGAACAACCACTTGCAAAACAGGATAGACAGGTCTCCAGAGGCAATGGAAACAAAAGCAAAAATGAAGTACTGGGACTACCTGAAAACAGAAAGATTCTGCAGAGCAAAGAAAATAATCAATAAAACTAAAAGGAAATAGGGGAAGACATTTGCAAATGACATCTGATAAAGGGTTAGTATCCAAAATATATAAAGAACTGGTAGAACTCAACACCCAAAACCCAAATAATCCAATTAAAAATGGGCAGAAGACATGAACATGCATTTCTTCAAACAAAACATTTAGATAGCCAAAGGACACATGAAAAGATGCTCAACATCACTTATCATAAAGGAAATGCAAATCGAAACCACTTCATACCCATCAGAACGGCTAAAATTAAAAAAAAAAACATAAGAAACTAAAAATGTTGGTGAGGATGTAGAGAAAAATGAACCCTTGGACACTGTGGGTGGGAATGCAAACTGGTGCAGCCACTCTGTAAAAGAGTATGGATGTAACTCAAAAAAATAAAAATAGAATTAGCATTAATTCCACTACTGGGTATTTATCCAAAGAATATGAAACACTAATTTGAAAAGGTTTATATGCATCCCTATGTTTACTGTAGCTCTAACTACAATAGTCAAGATATGGAAGCCTGTGTCTACTGAAAGATGGATGGATGAAGAGGTGGTATGTATACACAATGGAATATTATTCAGCCACAAAAATAATGAATATTGCTATTTGCATCAATGTGGATCAAAGGTATAGTGCTAAGTGAAATAAATCAGAGAAAGACAAATACCATATGATTTCAGTCATATGTGAAATTTCAAAAACAAAACAAATGAACAAAGAAAAAGAGAGACAAACCAAAAAACAGACTCTTAACTACAGAGAACAAACCGATCGTTACCAGAGGGCAGGCAGTGGAAAGATGGGTGAAATAGGTGATGAAGATTAAGAGCACACTTATCACGAGGAGTACTGAGTAATGTATTGAAGTGCTGAATCACAGTAACTCTGTATGTTAACTACAGTGGAATTATAGTTTTAAAAAAAAGTATTAGGGGCGCCTGGGTGGCTCAGTGGGTTAAGCCGCTGCCTTTGGCTCGGGTCATGATCTCAGGGTCCTGGGATCGAGTCCCGCATTGGGTTTTCTGCTCGGCAGAGATCCTACTTCCCTCTCTCTCTCTCTCTGCCTGCCTCTCCATCTACTTGTGATCTCTCTCTGTCAAATAAATAAATAAAATCTTTAAAAAAAAAAAAAAAAGTATTAGTACATAGCTAAATAAATAAAAATAAAAACTAAATCTGAGTTCTAGGCCTATCATCAATTTTAGGTGAACTATCCATATCTGATAAAAGATAAGTCTTCCTTTTCTAAAATGATTTTATTTACTGAGAGAGAGTATGAGTGCAAATGGGGGGGAGGGGCAGATGGAGAGATTCTAAAGCAGAGTCCATGCTGGGCACAGAGCCTGACACAGGGCTTGACCTCAAAACCCTGAGATCATGACCTGACCCTAAATCACGAGTCAGATGCTTAAGTGACTGAGCCACCCACATGCCCCTCTCTAGTCATATATTGAAAAAAATAATATACATGGTGGACACCTATCCTAGAAACAAGCACTCATTACAAATAGTATTCCTTTCATCTTCTCAATTTTCAGGTTAATCTCTCACCCTTTTTAAAGATTTTATTTGCTTATTTGAGAGACAACAAGAGAGTGAGAGAGAGAGCACGAGCAGCGGGGAGGAGCAAAGGGAGAAGCAGACTCCCAATGAGCAGGGAGTATGACATGGGGCTCGATCCCAGGACCTGGGGATCATGACCTGAGCCTAAGCTATTTCTAAGAAATCCCTTTCAAACTTTGCTTCTTAGTAGCTATAAACATGTGTCCCAGGAATAGAAGAATGGAAATAATCAGACTTTAAATACTGAAAACTTATCCTATAATGATAATGTTTAAGAAGGTCATTTTTTAAATTAATTTTTTAATTTTTTAATAAACATATAATGTATTTTTATCCCCAGGGGTACAGGTCTGTGAATCGCCAGGTTTACACATTTCACAGTACTCACCATAGCACATACCCTCCCCAATGTCCATAACCCCACCACCCCCCTCCTGACCCCCCTCCCAAGAGGGTCATTTTTATTTTACTTATTTATTTATTTTTTTAAGATTTTATTTATTTGAGAGAGAGAGAGAGTGAGAGAGCATGAGAGGAGAGGTCAGAGGGAGAAGCAGACTGCCCATGGAGCTGGGAGCCCGATGTCGGACTCGATCCCGGGACTCCAGGATCATGACCTGAGCCGAAGGCAGTTGCTTAATCAACTGAGCCACACAGGCGCCCAAGAGGGTCATTTCTAAAGGCACTTTGATGATGTAGTGGTTGAGAGCATGGATGCTGGATCCAGTGGGTCTGGATACAAATCTCAGCTCCATCACTTACTAGTGAGTTGAAGGCAAATAGCTTTGTGCCTCGGATTTTCCATCTGTGTAAACAAGTGTAATATAACAGCAGCAAGGGGCGCCTGGGTGGCTCAGTAAGGTTAAGCCTCTGCCTTCAGCTCGGGTCATGGTCTCAGGGTCTTCGGATTGAGCCCCACATTGGGCTCTGCTCAGCGGGGAGCCTGCCTCCCCCCCTTCTCTCTGTCTGCCTCTCTGCCTACTTGCAATCTCTCCCTGTTAAAAAAAAAAATGCAGCAAACTCAAAGCGCATTCTGAGAACTGATTTACTCTATCTACAAGTCTCAAGAAGACTGCACAGTACAGTAAGGACTACATCACTACCAGAAATCCTTTCAGATCTCTGGACCAATACTATGATTTACTCAACCCTGAATGAGTAGTTCAAGATAGAAAGAAGTTTGACGGTCTTGGTAAAAAAGATTCCTCATGAATTAATGGCTTAAATGTTAGACATCAGACAAAAATGATGGTGTAAATTACCTCGGTCATTCTCAGGCTCTTGTGTTTCACTGCTATCCTGTGTCCTCCCAGGGTTCCCCAAGGTAGGCTTGGGGGCTGACAAACTTACTGATGTCGAGTGAGCTACCTGTGAAAAAGGGCCAGATAAATGGGGGGGTGTAGGCTGTCGGGGGTGGTAAGGCACACCTGGTGGGCAAACTCGGGAAGAGAGCTGCTGCATGGCAATCATCTCTGGGCTGTCCATCATGGAGTCCCCTCCTTGCACCCCCCGCAGAGCATGGGAGGGTGCTCCAAAAAGAGAACTTGGTGTTGGGGCTGGAGGTGGCTGTAACCGATGTCCACCAGATTTACAGGGTGGTCGCATATACCCTGAAGAAGCAACTCCATGAGGTAGAAAACTTGATTGTTCAGTCCACTGGTTTGGGGGAAGAGCAGGTCTCATCACTCGGGAATCCATCATATGACCAAGAGCTCGAGGCTGGTGAGAGGGTCCTGGCCCCATGGGGGGCTTCTCATCTGTGCCCAAGGGTCCTGTGTTTGTAGCACCATGGTTTCCATTCCAGACAGCGGTGTGTACTCGATTCAGGTACTTGTACGATCGGTACATGTGGCTGGGAGGAATTTCTGAGCTTTCAGGGAAGTCTGGGGGTCGGGCTGGAGCCCCACCATGCCTGGGAGGAATAAATCCTGACTGGAATTGAGTCGGGGGATAAATATTTCCATCCTGACTAGTGCCACCCATCTGTCTAAGCTGCAAGGATCCAGAATGTGATCCCACATTACTGAGGTGTGTCAGCCCCCCACACACTTGCTTCTCTTCTGGAGTGCCTAGCCTGGGTCCTCGGTGGTTGTTAATTCCAACTGGAGGCTGGCAACAAGAAAACAGAAGGAGGCAGAGATTAGATCCACAGAATAAAGTGCTTAATCTACAATAACAGACTCTAAATAATAGAAGATAATGAATTAAATTTAACCTGGTAAGAGACTGTATTTCTGAAGTGTATCTGTGAAGCCCTTTGCATTTGTGTATTCTGAGTAGACTGCTTACCTGCACGGCAAAAGGCTGATGCTGCTGCATAGGTTCTCCAGGGTGTGGTTCTGGGACCCTAGAGGAGACATATAAATTGGCAGGATCTGATCCTCGAAGAGGGCCAAATGTTCCTGGTACTGCTGGCCTCTGGAGAGCGTTGAGTAAAGGCAGGAGGAGAGGGGAAAAAAGAGGAAGCACAGAAGACATTAGGTAGAAAACAAGGCCGTTCCTACAGAATGCTAGCATATAAGCTCACCCAGATTGGGGCTAGTTCTGGGGCCCAAAGCTATCTCTCATTGCAGGACAGAAAACAAACTGGGGTCTCTTAATCTCTTTTTCCTTAGTGCCTCTTCCCCAAGAGCCTTATAAGCCAATTTTTCCCCAACTGCCCCCTCCACATGAAATTTTAACTGCACAGATATGCTGTATATTTTATGTACTATGTGTATTTCTGTGCTTTGTACAGGAAAAGTTTTTAAAATCCCCACTTCTACCTACCTTGCGAGTGCATCAGACTGACTAAAAGAAGATTTAAAATAAGAGGAAGAATGAATAAAGAAAGGACAGGTGAGGAGAGACAAAATCATCCACATATGGAAAAATTACTTTGGAAAAGAAACTAATTAACAAGGCTTCACTTCTGTTTGAATTCACGAACTAGGGGAAACTACTGTTGAATTTTAAGCTATTCCTTACCATCTGGTTTAAAAGGGGTGCCTGGTTAGGCATCCCACCATAATGTAGGGGACGAGAAAAGCCTCGGCCATTTGAGGTGCCCACCTCCCGAGGGAGTTGTGTGGAACTGCTGCTTTGATTATCCCCAGAAGAGGAAGTTCTGCGGGCAGGCGGCAAGGACTTTCCTCCATTCTCCACTGGCTGCTGTTTCTTGCTGGGCCCTTCAGAGTCCCTGGAGCGGGTCCAAACATTGCTTCCACCGCTTCGTCCAGCCCGGCTCCGCCTCTTCTCCCGCTTTTCATCCTCTCTGATCCAAAATTCTTCATCTGTGTCTCCATCTTCACCAGGAAAATGCTTCATCATTGCCCGATGAAAACATCTCTCTAAATTATCAGACATCTTGGTATATTCTATGGGAAGATACAAGGACTGACTTCCAGATAGAGCTTTTATAGGACATAAAAGACAATTCTCTTACCAACAAACAATAAAAGATACCTTTTGGGTAAACTCTGGAGCTTAATTCAACTCAAGTGATATTAGGTTGTACAGCTACAGATACAAGATGAAGATACTGTTTTTGCCTTAATAGGCTCTAGGCTGTATGGCTGGAATCAGATTCTTAACTTAAACCAAGACAGATTTAATTCTTCAAGGCTAAATCACAGCATTATTAAACACAGTCACTGAAGCTACTAAGTTTTATCTTTTTTTTTAAAGACTTATTTATTTGAGAGGGAGAGTGAAACTAGGGGAGGGAGCGGGAGAGAGAGAATCTTAAGCAGACTCTGCTGAATGCAGGGCTACATGCATGATCTCTTGATCTCATGACCCCCCCCCCCTTTTTTAAAGATTTTATTTATTTGACAGAGATCACAAGCAGGCAGAGAGGCAGGCAGAGAGAGAGGAGGAAGCAGGCTCCCTGATGACCCCTTAGATGATAACCCTAACCCTGACCCAGAATCCAGAGTCAGGTCCTTAACTGACAGAGACATCCATGTGTCCCAAAGCTGCTTAGTTTTTAAGCTAAAGCATTTGAACTACTGTATAAAAGAGTATACGTTTCTACACTTGGAGCCATACATTCTTTGTAATTGGAGATCTACTCTGTGGACTTCTCAAGATGATTTAAGAATCCAGGGTCAGGGGAATCCTGGGTGGCTCAGTGGGTTAAAGCCTCTGCCTTCAGCTCAGGTCATGATCCCGGGGTCCTGGGATCGAGCCCCGCATCGGGCTCTCTGCTTGGTGGGGAGTCTGCTTCCTCCTCTCCCTCTCTCTGTCTGCCTTTCTGCCTGCTTGTGATCTCTGTCAAGTAAATAAATAAAAAAAAATCTTAAAAAAAAAAAAAAAAAAAAAAGAATCTAGGGTCAGTCTGGTCAGTAGTTAGCAGTCTCTGTTTAAGGAAGCGCAGTACAATCTAAATCCAGCCTGGTCTCTACAATAATGAAAAATAACCTGAGCCCAGTTAGCCACTAGATACATTCTTTTGTCACACAGGATAGACGTGGTTTTGGCACATGTTGTGTAAGTAGTCAGAGTGGCCAATCCCATGGCTTTAAATGTACATTTTGTTTACAGTCTCAGTGAAAGGTCAAAATATTTCTAAAAGAGATGCACTTCTGTTTTTGTGTATTTCTAAAAAAGGAGGTATTCTGTTCTTGGTTGAAATGGATAATAAGTGTATCCATAGCAAACTCCTTCCCCACTTACCACTACTTTCCCCATTATATTTTCGACAATTCCTGAACATAGTCTTCATGTCATTTACAAATTCCTCCTTGGTACAGTATAAACCTCCGTTCAGTTTCTTCTCCATGCTTGAGATATCCATGGGGACCTAAAATAAGACACATTAAATTACAACATGTTGGAGGAAAAAACACCTCCTAGTCCTTATGAGGCAAGGGAATCACACCACTATGAGATGCTCAGGAGCCCAGCATATACCCAGCAACCCTGATTCTCAAGGAACAACAGGTGAGCTTTAAACAAAACCAGCAACAAAAATCAAGAAAGAAACAAACACCATGGTAGCCTCTACCTTAATAATCTGGTAATAGTTTGGGGCATATGATTCATCCACAGGTTCTAAAAAAGGCCAGGAATCCTTGTGAGCCTTTACCACATCTAGAACTGAAAGCCAAAGAAGAGAACTTAATTAACGCACTCACACAGGAGTACTTCTATCAGAGATAATAATAGTTGAGAATGGGAACTGACCTTTATACATGGCAGTGAAATCATCATCCAACTCAAAGCTGTGAATCACAAAAAAAGAAAGAATAACTTTGACCACCTTCTCCTTAGCTCTCTTAATTCAGTCACAGACACAGAGCTGATTATACCAAGGTTTGGAACAGTTTCAATAAACTGTCTTTAACGTTAGTGTGTAACACTGATAATCTCTAGAAAATAATTATGAAGATGAAGGTTAGCAAGCCTAAGGGGAGAAGCATTTTTATCATCTGTAAAATGATGGAACTGACTTAGATGATCCACAACTTAATTTCTGATTCTATAATGTTGTTTATTTAGGAGCACATTATTTCCAGGATTTTATTTTACCCTAATGAATATTTTTGTAATCTAAATAATAATAATATATCTATATTTTTAAGAATAATAAAATAGGCATAGAGAATAATAATAAAGGCATAGAGAAGAGCGAGAAGCTCATGAACACTGAATATTACCTGCCACACAGGGTTGTTTTAAGAATTAAATGAGAGAAGTGCTTAGCACAATGCCATAGTACTTCACCAATGTTCCTGGTTACTACTGTTAGTATCATTAAATACTCACAGGTCTTTAGTCTTTTTTTCTTCTCTCATGGGAGAACTAGGGTCCAGATGGGAAAGTTCTGGGGGGAGCTCCTTCCCTTGGGCCAGCAGCCATGCCCTTTCTTCCCTGAGCTTTCTCCTCTTTGCTCGATCTACAATGAACACAGGGCATTATGGTACAAGTGAGGTTAAGCACTCTTTAGATGATAACATGTTTGTTAACCATTTTAGAGAAGAAAGAAATAAAGATCACCTGTATCATAAGATTATTTTTGTTTCTTTTGCCATCCTCTTGGTATTAAGGATGATTCTATAGATGGAATACATTATGAAAAAATATAAATTTGTGGGGAGCCTGGGTGGCTCAGTCATTAAGAGTCTGCCTTCAGTTCAGGTCATGATCCCAGAGTCCTGGGATCGAGCCCCACGTCATGCTCCCTGCTCAGCGGGAAGCCTGTGTCTCCCTCTCTCACTCCCCCTGCTTATGTTCACTTTCTCACTGTCTCTCTCTCTGTTAAATAAATAAATTAAATCTTAAAAAAAAAAAAAAAAAAATATATATATATATATATATATATATATATATACATACTTGTGGAACCCATTTCCTTTATGCATTTCCTTTATGCTGGGAAGGGATGAGGGTGGTCTGGGATGGAGAGGGAGGAAAGAGCAAGTCTGAAGAAAAATAGAATTAGAAGAAAAAGGAAAAAAAATACAAGACTGAATGAAGATATCCTTCTCTGAATACCTGAGGCCTTTCCAATCTTTCTCTCAGAAAAACAACATCTGCTTTTTTAAGGACCAGACTCTCAATCCTAACATACATGGGATTTTATATGCATATCTAAGCTCGCAAAGTTTGGTATTTACAAAGGCATCCTTGCACACCAATTGTCTTTGCTCTTCAATCTACCCCACCACTGGCAGCTGGCCCTTACCAAGCAAGGGGTAATCATAAATTTGGCTGGGAACAAGGGAAAGATGCCAGCTGGAATTGGCAAGGAGCTGGAAGACAGGGATGATTTTTTTCTGGCTCACAGCCATAGCCATGAGAAACACACTTGGCATTCCACTACTAGCCTGATGGGACACTCAGTGCCAGCAGGGAACCGGAAGGTCAGGAGTAAAGAAAAGAGGCAGGGAGATAAAGAGCACTGTCAGACAGAAAGACATAAAAATGGAAGGGAGAAGCCAGGACACATCTTCTATTTTCTTCCCTGAGGGACAGGCTCTACATATGTCCCCTGCTAGGAGCATGACATGACCCTGCTAACTATTCTCCATCTAGTTCTGTTTGACTTGTGTTATTTTTACATTATTCACTTATAAACTTAAATCTATTTCTACTATAATTAGTCAAATGCTATCAATGACTTACAATATTGTTTTTTTAAAAAATGATTTCAGGATTAAAGAAAAGTGTAACTAAATTAATGAATATCCATGAACCTAACAAACTGGCAGATTTTAACATTTTTGCTTTAGTAACTTTAGTACAGTAGTTCTGTCTAGTTGGTTGCAATTTTTTGCAACTTACAAATAGTATTATAGTACAAGTCTTTTGACATGCCTTCTTGTGCACATGTGTGAGTTCTCTGGGATGCACACCCAGCAGTGGAACTGCCACAGTGCTTTCCAAAGGGGTACAGCTATTCTTTCACTAGTGGTGTGAGTTACACTCACTTGGTATGATAAAACTAGCAATTCTGCCAAATTGGGAAGTACTGATAAAGAATTTTGATGCTTTCATTTGCATTTTCCTGACTGGAGTGATACTAAACATATTTCCATGTTTACTGACCATTTAGCATCCTCTTGTGTGAATTTCTTGCTTAAATACTTTGCCCTTTTCCTTTGGATTATTCCATTTCTAATGGATTTAGAGAAGTGCTTTAAAGAATCTGGAGAATATGTCTTTGTTGGTTATGTGTTAAAATTATCTTCTATGTTGACTTGTCTTTCCATTTTGATTATGGTGTTTATGTTATATGTAAGTTTTAAACAATTCATGTACTCAAACATATCAATCTCCCTCCCTTTGTAGCTTGTGCCTTTTGTACTTAATACATTCTCAGTGCAGAGTATGCTCAAATTTCTATCTTCCTCTCCCTATGCTCCTCCCACCCAATAAATACAAATCCTAGGGGGGAAAAATCCATTATTGCTTCTGCCTTTTTTACTTACCTTCCAAGAATTCAGGAAAAATTTATTGCTGTAACTATTTTACAGTCTGTAAAAACTCCCTCTACGTTTTCCCCATGATAACTATCATTTGTGAGCTTGCTGTGTGCTAGGGACTACCCGTTTTTATTTAACCTTTCTAACAAGGCGTGCATAGCCCTAAGTGATCTGATCCCTGGTTACCTCTATGAACTCATTTCCTGCCCGTTTTCCCCTTACTTTGCTTACTTTGGTCCATACTGGCCTCCCCCTGCATATTCCTTCCTCAGGGCCTGTGCACCTGCTATTTCCTCTCCATTCCCCCATCAGATGTTCATATGGCACCTTCATTCACTTTATTATGAAATGTCACAAATTCAGAAAGGGCTTTCTTGACAAGCTTATCTAAATGCCACCCATATCACGTCACTCTTTATCTCTAAACCTATTTTTCTTCACATCTTTCACCACCAGCTGTGATTCTACAGTATTTGTTTCTTCTGTCTTCCCACCACTGGAATTTAAGCCCCACGAAAGGATTAGTTTCTTTTGTTTAATATCTATATTCCTAGAACAAAGCCTGGCACAGAATGGGTGCTCAAAAAATATTTGTTGACTTAAAGAACAATCTATAACACAGGTATTATTAATCTTCAAGGTAGAGAAACTAAACCATAAAAATAAATTTTGAATCTGTCTGTATAAAAGTCAAATGAGAACAGTGCAGCAAATAAAAACCAGACTGAGAATACAGAATCCCCTTAAAAACTACAAAAATTAAAGCCATAGTTACTGTCCTGAGGATTTAAATCTAGCATTGGAAATGAAAGCCATGAAACACTTTATAAGTAGGATATACTACATATTGTCACACAGGCTAAATTTGTAGATTAAATGCACTAAGGGTTTTATAATGAAGAAGTGATCACAGTAGGAATGGGTTACCCTATGAAGAAACAGAAGGCAAAAAAGCACTTAATAAGGCAGAATCCTTTAAGTTTTACAGCCAAAACTTATTTAAATTTTGCACTGAGACACTGCATTAAAAAGTCAAATTCAGGTTATGTGGTTTTATTCAATTTAAACCTTCAGGGGCGCCTGGGTGGCTCAGTGGGTTAAGCCGCTGCCTTCGGCTCAGGTCATGATCTCAGGGTCCTGGGATCGAGTCCCGCATCGGGCTCTCTGCTCAGCAGGGAGCCTGCTTCCCCCTTCCCCTCTCTCTGCCTGCCTCTCTTCCTACTTGTGATCTCTCTCTGTCAAATAAATAAATAAAAATCTTAAAAAAAAAATTTTAAACCAGTAAATTTACTTAAAGAAATAAATACTGGTCTGTGTTCAACTAAGCAGATGATCTGTTACCATATGATTTATTTATCAGGTTTAGCTTATAAACACAACTGCTATCTGATACATCTAGGGACAGTTATTATCCTTTGTACTAACTGCAAAGGAAAGAAAAATCTCATTACACCAAGACCAAAACCTAGACCCAAGTCTGAGAAAAATGATTTGCCCTAATAAAATTAATGGTAGTACTCTTGATATGTATAGTGCCATACTTAAAAATTTTTTTAAGATTTTTCTTTAGCACATTATTTCAATTGTGGTTAAAATTATTTCTATGAAACATGTCATTAATACCTCAATATTTTTTTTCCATTTCACATGCAGGATGTACACAGATGAAGGCAATAAGTAGTAAGACTGACAGGAACACCAAGAATAACAAATACAGGTGCTATAGAAGGACTGCATATACAATGAGATTGGATCCAGCAGAATACACAAGAAAGAGTGCAATTAACAAGTTATTTAAACAGAAATTGCCAGTAGCAGCTTAGATGTCGGAGAGAACCTAGTTTGATTTGGCTTTGGCCAGAGGAGGGCTATTCTCATACCACATGTACTGCTCAGAGAGCCCACATACCTTCTACGGCCTTGACCTTTTCCTCCAGCTCTCGTTTTCTCTCTTCCTTTAACATCTGCTCCTGCTCCTTCTTCTGCACTGCGAGAAGAATTTGACGTTCTTCTTCCTCCTCTTTGCGCTTCTGTTTTTCTATTCTGCTAAGCACAGGGGTCTCCTGTAAAGAGCCAATTAAGTGTATAGAGTCAATACACAAGAATGTAAGATCAGTTTTTTGCTCTAAGATCCAATTTTTACTGAATTCAATCTATTCAACAAATAGTATTGGATAGGTAGGGAGTTTATATCATAACCTCAAGTCGATTTTATCATCTATAGAATAAACGTATGGGAATATATAACTAACATTAAAACAATGGAAATTTGAAATAAGCTAAGAAGTTTTGGTCCCTATGATTTACATAATTTGTAGTCTTTGGGAGGTAATCCTATGAATATGTTGGACCAGAGAAGAGAAACTGAGGAAGTTGAGACACCGCTATTATAGATTTAATATTTAATAAAAGTGACGTCTTAAAAAGTACTCTCATCTCAATAAACTTTAAAAATGATACAAGAACCCAGGGTCACAATTCCAATGTGCAAGACTTTGAAACCTTAACATTTATACTTTACAAATAAAACAATGAATAAAACTGGGAGTTTGGTGGGAGGGGCCACTGTTTTGCCTTAAGATACAGAAAAGAAAAAGGCAACTGCATAGAAATTTGTAAAATTACTCAAGACTGGCTAGGATTCTCCCTTGTTGTTCCACACAAATGACATTAACATAAAGATTTCAGTTGGTCACTGGGAAAGTGACTGCCCAAGAAATCTAACCAAAGATAAAGGACAATAGGACCATTACTATCATAACCTATTATTTTACTCTGCATACTTTCCAGTATAACTGGTTCTGAGCCATTCTGTAAACCAGAATTGTGAAGCTAGGGCTGAAATTACTTATTTTCATTTCTTCCCTTGACTTTTGTGCTGATGTGAAAGCCACCTGACCTTTCAAATTCTATGAGCCTGAGTTTAAAAGTTTGTTACTACAAGGTAAAAACCTGAAATGAGTAAGAAATGAGATGAAAATGAAAAACAAACAAATAAAAAACACAAACCCAAAACACCCAAATAAACCAGAAGACAAAAAACCATTATCACACATCTAACACTGTAAAACTAAAGAAAGTTCTCTAAGATCTTTATCCTACAAGCGGGGCAGGCAGTTTAGATATGCTAGATACTGTTTCTGAAATGGGGAGGCTACTGACATTAAGAAAAATTCTTCTAAAGAATGTATCTCTAGATTTGCCTCCTAAATACTAGTCAAGTATCTTCTCTCCATCACACAAGTAACCCCAACCCACAAATCCTTCATTATTCCAACTTTTTGGCAACACCTTTACTCAGCTCACAAGTTATGATGGAACTATGTAATAAACCAAAACAAACTGCCTTTGCCCCTTTCAGTTGTATAGTGACTCCCAGCAGGATACGGGGAGGAGACAGAGGAAAGGTAGGCCTGGTCAAAGGTATTATTTCATCTGAATAAAATCAGAGTGCTTTCTACATATATGTCAGATGCAATCAAAAAAGAGAGAAAAAAGCAGGTGTACAGGCCATAAGTCATTTACACATACATAGTAAGATAATGTATGTATATTTTGCCCCTCCCTCCAAAGGACAGCAGGTAAGAACATGTGGAATATTCTTCTTTCAACCAGTACAAGGGGATATTAAGTAGAGTCAACATTTTAATAAGGACTAAAGAAATTCAAGCTAATAACTTATAAATAGAAGTATTAAGTCACCAGAGTCATCTGTAAATAAACATGGGTGGTGTTTCATGTTTGAAGTCAATGGAAGGGGGGAAAGGAAAAAAAAAGATAATTAAATAAATCTTAAGAATATCTATATAATTATTATTGCAACAAATATGGCAATTTATTATTTTTTTTTTTAAAAGATTTTATTTATTTATTTGACACAGAGAGAGAGAGATCACAAGTAGGTAGAGAGGCAGTCAGAGAGGCACAGGGGGAAGCAGGCTCCCTGCTGAGCAGAGAGCCTGATGCAGGGCTCCATCCCAGGACCCTGAGACCATGACCAGAGCCCAAGGCAGAAGCTTAACCTACTGAGCCACTCAGGCGCCTGGACAATTTATTATTCTTAATATGTAAAGATATCTTACAAATCAATTAACAATAGGGGCGCCTGGGCGGCTCAGTCAGTTAAGTGTCAGCTTAGGTCTTGATCTCAGGGTTGTGCTCCTGTGTTGGGTTCCCTGCTGGGTGTGAAGCCTGCATATGATTCTCCCTTACCTTCTGTTCCCACCCCCCCATTTACACATGCTCACTCTCTCAAAACAAACAAACAAAACCAAAAAACAAAACAAAACCAAAAAACAAAACAACAAAAACCAAAACCAACACAAATCAGTTAACAATAGCCACCCACAAAAGACTGAACGTGAATACAAAATTCACAGAAGATAAAAACCACTGTTAATGAAACAGATGGGATCGAGGGAGACAAACCATAACAGACTCTTAATCTCATAAAACAAACTGAGGGTTGCGGGGTGGGGGGGTGGGGGGGTAGGGAGAGGGTGGTGGGATTATGGACATTGGGGAAGGTATGTGCTATGGTGAGTGCTGTGAAGTTTGTAAACCTGGCGATTCACAGACCTGTACCCCTGGGGCTAATACATTGTATGTTTATAAAAAAATAAAAAATATTAAAACAAAAACAAAACCCATTGTTAATGTTCAAAAACAAAAGTAAAATACCCTTTTCACTTACAAACTAGAGAAAGATATGAAGTAATACATTTGTAAAGATGTGGTAAAATGAATGCTATCAATTGGTTGCAGCACAGGTCCCCTGGAGGACAGAGAGAGAGAGAAAGAGTGAGAGCGAGAGGGAGAGTGTGTGTATAATATATATATAACCCTAAACAGAGTAATTACACTTTTATGATTTTATTGTAAAAATGAAATAGAAAGGCAAAGATACTTCTCTAAGTAGGTTCGAGTCAAATTATTTAAAATGGTGAAAATTTACAAATACACTAAATGTTTAATAATAGGTAAAATTATATAGTCATCATTATAAAACCAATAGAAGTCATTATTTTTTTAAAAGATTTATTTATTTTAGAAATACGGGGGGGGGGGGGGCGTGAGTGTGCAAGCAAGTAGGAGGCGCAGATGGAGAGGGAGACAGAATCTCAGATCCCCACTGAGCACGGAGCCTGACCACAAAGAGATGGCGACCTGAGCCAAAACCAAGACCTGGATGCTCAACCAAATGATCCACCCAGGGGCCCCAACAGAAGTTGTAGTTCTGAGGAATTTTAATGAAATATGAAAATGCTCACAATGTTAAATGAAAAACACAGATGAAAAAATAATATTCAATAAGATGCCAGTTTTGTAATAAATGCATAGAGAGAGGACCTGAAGCAAATAGGTAAAAATGTAGGAGTAAGGATTTGTGAGTTGGGAGATTACTGTGTCTTCCACTGTATTCTAATATAGTCCCCCAAGTTTTCAATAAGAGCACATAAATTCTTCGGAACTTAGAACAGTTTCTTCCCAAGTTAAACTGGAGAAATGAACTAATATGGCATATTCTAAAATGATCTAGTTTTTTTTTTTTTTAAGATTTTATTTACTTATTTGACAGACAGAGATCACAGATCACAAGTAGGCAGAGAGGCAGGCAGAGAGCGAGGGAGGAAGCAGGCTCCCTGCTGAGCAGAGAGGCCTATGCGGGGCTCAATCCCAGGACTCTGAGATCACGACCTGAACTGAATGCAGAGGACTTAATCCACTGAGCCACCCAGGTGCCCCTAAATTAATCTAGTTTTTATTAACTTTTTACATCCTCTGCTATATGTTCCCTGTTAAAAGCCTAAAATTAAAATATGATGTGTGAGCCTGGTGGTGGGTATTAAGGAGGGCACAAACTGCATGGAGCACTGGGTGTGGTACATAAACAACGAATCTTGGAACACTGAAAAAATAAAATAAAATAAAATAAAATAAAAATGTTAAAGTACCCAAAGGTTAGAACCTGTTGATTTTTAGGATGAAGTACTAAAAATTGATTACGAATAGTTTATTTTAGTAACAATGAAGCAGGAATCTTAAAGTTTAAGATAACTATAGATGTAAAAATTGCTGTAAAATCAGAGGCCCTACACCATTAAAAAATATGTAAAACTTACTCTCATATAGTTTTTCGTTAAAACTTCACGTGAGATTCAAATAAAATTAACAACTTTGAAGTGTGTAACTCAGTGGCATTTAGTACATTCACAGTGTTGTGTAACCACCACCTACACTAGGTTGCAAAACATTTTTAGCACCCCAAAAGAAACTGCTGAACCCATTAACCAGCCAGTCCTTACTCCCCACTCCTCTAGCTCCTGGCAACCACCAATCTCCTCTCTGTGTGGACTTACTTGCTCAGGATACTTCACATAAATGGAGTCATATAATATCTATTTAGTTGCTTTTTTCTCCCCCCAATACATTAATATTAACATTAAGATACAGTAATTGACTAACTTAAATTTACAGCATCTTAAAAAAACTAATCAATAGCAAAAAACCAATCTCGTTTAAAAAAAAATGGGCAGAGGACCAGAACAGACATTTTTCCAAAGACACACAGATGGTCAACAGGTACATGAAACGGTGCTCCACATTTCTAATCATCAGCGAAATGTAAACCAAAACCACAGTGAGAGGATATTGCTTCACACCAGTAAGATTGGGTATCATTAAAAAGACAAGAAATAACAAGTGTTGGCAAGGATGTGGACAAAAGGAAAACTTCATGCACTGTTGGTGGGAATGTAAATTGGTGTGTGGTTCTCTTTCATCATGTGTTATAATTTCAGCTGATTTTATCTGATGTGAATTCTCTAAATTGCATCAGATACATCTGGGAAAAAAAAAAGTCCACGTAGTGCATCAAGAGAGTATTTCAAGTTACTATTCTCATTTCCAGCAGTACAACACCTTAGGTAAAGCCAGTGTCAAAGAACATATTATCACTAAAAGACAGGATTCACTGCCTGAGACACTTTTGGTGGTGTGTTAAACTTCAATAGTTTAAAGAACAAGTACAACCAAATGAACAAAAACAAAACAAAAAACTGAAGATAAAAAAATTCTTACACTGTTTGGCACTGCAATTTTTTTTTCTTGCTGTAAAACGGGTGATATCTAAATCTTTTATAGATTAAGAAAGAGACCTGCTAGAATCAAGGAGGGTTTTTAATGAGAAGCTAATTAGAAACACTACTTTAGAAATCCTCTGAAGTATTATAAATAGAATCTGGTTGAAGCGGTGTCCAGGACTCCCCTTCCATGCTCCCTCCTCACCCAGGGCAGGTCACCAGACACCCTGGCACCCCTGCCAATGTTAGTAGCACACTTGAGACTATACAACCACAAAGAGCTCCCTAGCAGCAGTAATGTCCAGAGTCTCCTGACAAAAATAGCCAATGCAGCCCTAATCCCGAGGTTCAAAAAGACTACCTCCCTTCCCTCGTATTTTCCCCAGGAGTCACAATTAAAAGACTTTTTGAGGCAAAAAGGTTGGAGCCCTGAGTGACCAATATAGGTCAGGTACCCTGCCTATAAGGCTTTAATGGCCTGAAGATTTTCTGCTGCTTAAACAAATGCACAAAGCTCGTGCTGTATCTAAATTTTCTCTGGGATAACTGGGTATTGGAGTAGATACTCACGATCTCTGCAATACCATGGTTAGTTCTATCTAAAAATAAAGACAACAGAAAAAAAAAGAGAAATGCTGCTAAGAATAACGAAAAGGAGAAATTCTGGTGTCTGCGGCTAAGCTCTGCTTACAGCCATGAAGAACCTTTTGGTCTGTATTCAGATTACTATGCAGTTGAAATGGACACTAAGGCATTAACGACTCAGTCCAGGGGAATGAACAGAAAATAGGAAAGAGAACTTTAAAGGAGGGGTTAACTGTCACGGTACTGAAGAAAAGTAGAGAGGATACAACCAAACAAAAGGAACTAGAAAACCATTTGAGAACTATGGCTGGATACCAATTACCAATAACTGTTACAGGAAACAAGACTGGGGAGACTGAAGTTAGTCATTACAGAATTGTCAATCCAAAGGTAATTAAGTGTTGGGCAAATTTGTCTACTGGTAAGAACACACCTATTGGCTGAAAAAGAGAAATAAAGGATAAATGCAAATGTATTTAAGTAAATAAAAACCTATAAACTAATTTTTTCTTTTCTTCAGGCTCAAGGTAGAATACACTGAACAGTAAGATCCCTGTAATAAAGAGTCATGCTGTCACTTCAATTTTAGAGTCATGAAAACATCACTCCAAGGCACTAAGAAGGCACCATACTTCCTAAGATCACTAAACTATGTAAGAGTCAATGAAACATGAGGCTAAAAGGATTAAAAGGTTGAAAAGTATAGAGAATATGAGAACTGGCCAGCACGGAGTCTGGACTTGAAAGGGAGATAAGCAGCAATAAATAAAACCTCTGGCAAAGGAGGAGTCAGGAAATGGAGGTCTTCAAAGACTGAGGGCCCTGAGCATGAGGTGCCTTCTAGAATCTTCACAGAATGGGAAGACGGATCTGGAGAGATCGTAGTGAGGCACTTCCACTGTCACCACCTCTCGCTTCTTCCTGGCTCCTTCCTTCAGTTCCCTCTCCTACCTGACTTCCAGCATCCAATATGGCACCACCTGCAATCCAGTTCCATAGGCCTCACTCCATTACAATCTTGCCCATTTTTCAATCTTAGTAAATCTAAGTATCAATTCTGCCCCTTCCTCCAAGTGTGTTGCTAAAGTCATTTAACTACTCTAAACTAGTTACAAAATGAAAACACCCAAAATGAAAATATAAAATGAAAATGCTAGAAAACCCGTTTTATAATACATTAGTTGTTGACCCAAATATCGTGTCTTCATTAGATCTCCACACCACTCCCACCTGATGCCCTATTTACTTTAAGAGGACAGAGGAACATCCCACGTGAACACCTAATATTTTCCTGTCCCATCAAAAGTTTGTGTCTTTAACTTCGGAGAAATGGAAGCAACTTCACTCCCTAGCAAGGCCCTGCCTCTTAGGCACATCATCTTACAAGACTCAGCCACATTCATTCCCTTTCTCATTCACGGACATTGCTCAGGTCTATGTTACATCTCCAACTATAAAAAAAGAAACTGCCACAAGCTCTCCTTAATCCTGCTTCCTCTTTACTTTTTCATGATTTGCTTTCTTTCATTGTCATATTTCTCAAAACCACAACAGGATAATCTATGAGAACTTTTATTCACCACTCATCCTCTTGCAACCTGGCCCTCACACCAACCATCTCTAATGACCTCTTCTGCTACATCCCTGCCCCATCCTCTCTTCCATTTTAGACCCATATTTCCAACAGCAGGGACTCTACTGCACTTTCCTGCTGCAAGTATACTGCTCACTAACTGATTTCTTACTTTCCAGTTTTTCCTTAAAAATCATTTATCATCGTATAACCAGAGAGGTACCGTCCTAAAACAAAGATCTAATGACATAAACTCACCCCCTACTGCCTGTTTATTGAAGATAAGCTTGATAGTCAGGGAACTCCAAAATCGGATTATTTCAGCATCTTATTCCACTATATATTACAACATATCTTATATACCAGACACAAATCCAAATATACACTGTTCTTTGACCATATGATATATTAACCTGGCTCTGTGCTTTGTTTATATTACTCTTCCACCACCAAAATCTTAGCCATCCTGCAAGGTTCAGGAGAAATATAGCTCTGCTTGTACCAACTCCCCTTTCTTTGCAAACCACTAGTATCTTCCATCTTTGCACTCATGAAGGTCTACTACATATACATCTATTATAGTATTTATCCTTCTCATTTATACTAGATTTAACATGGATATGCTTATCGTCCCAGGAGATTAACTGTAAGATCCAAAAGAGCAAAACCTCATGTTGTACTTTTTAATCCTTTCCCTTTCTAAAAATGCATCTTACATGTAAGAATGCTCCATAAAGATCTGGGATTTAAAAATTGAGGCAGAGTTAAATTAAAAAGTAGGAAAAAAAGGAATACCTGAAATAAAATGGAGCATCCTTTTGAACAATGAAAACTCCTCTCTACACTCACACACACTCACCTCTCTCTTGATGGATTTGACGGACAGGTGGTGAGACATCCACCTAGGTTGCAACTCTGCCTTTGTGCGCTGTGGACGCTTTCCCTACAGTTAGAAGTGAGGAAAAGAAAGGAAAAGACAGATTAGGGTGTTCTCAGCTACTGCTGCTGCTGCTGCTGCTGCTGCTGCCAGAAGAGTGGCCTTTAAGGCACAGAGGTGATGGCTTTACTGAAGATGAGAGCCAAAGGCATCCTTTGGACAGTCAGTAAAAATGACTATTCCACTCCACAAGTAACAAGCCAGTTTATTCTCTTAAAAAAAAATAAAACAAAAAACCCCTGATAGACACGAAGGGTCTCCTCTGTCAATCTTTAACACTGGCAGGAAACTCCCTTAACTGTTTAAACATTTAAAAAAAAATGTTTTGTTTCAAATTATTAAGGGAAAGCCATGTTTTACCACCTTCTGCTGAAGGGATGGGCTCTGAGAGAGGGCATTATGAGCAGCTGGAGGTAGAACTCCCTTTAAAAGGCAGTTCAGTGGCAGTAGTGAGAAGTGAGAGGAGCTGCCCAGGCTGAGAACCAAATAGCAAGACAGAAGTGGGGAGAAAGACTCAGTGACTAGAAATCAGAGAGTTTGCCTGAGAAAATTTAAGAGCTTGAAGGCAATCACTATAGGACATTTCAAGAAAGGGTATTTTTTTGTTTTTGTTTTTGTTTTGTTTTTCCAAGAAAGGAGTTTTACAAATTATCCAAGAGCAATTATTTAAGGTCAGTGTAAGTTTTGGAATTTTTGTGGAATAAGCCCCACAGCTTCACCACTGTGACCTGTATGGAGGTGGTCAGCAAAGGATTTGCAGTTGAGTAATTCTGTGCCTTCAGTACCAGTATCAGCAATACCCAGGCTTGGTTTTGGCACCACTCAATCCAAAGTCTTGAGACTTGAAGAATCAGTGAGGTAAAGGCACAAAGCACAGAACAAACAAACAAACAAACAAAGGCAACAACAAAATGGTGTGGTTTATACAACATAAAAACACTGCAAATCAACTGTGGTAGATTTAAGAGAAGCTTTAGAAAGCACTCATGTTAGATTGACTTAGGCCTCTGTACAAATGCAAGCAATCCAACTGTCAGTCTTTTTCACAAAAGCTACCACAGTAATTTCCTCAAATACGTCTATAAGCAACTCCTTTATGAACTTCAAGACCCCAAGAGGAAGAGCTCTTCAATTTTAAACAAATGTGAAAATTTACCATGGAACTCTCCAAAGTATTGTGGCAATTTACCATACAAGCAGTGACAAAGGCCAATACCAACTTGACCCCAAACTTCGCCAAATCAGACAAAAGTTACTAATGTGCAAAGTGGTATTCTTGCTATAGAAGGTGCATTTGTTTCCCTACAACTTTACTAAATACTCCTGTGCGAATTATCTGTACTCTTAGTCAATTCATTTGTTAAAGATCTAGTATTTGTAAGCCATCTAAATAATACAGTTTATAACATTAGCAACAAATACTTTTACTAGCTTACATCCTCGTTTGAAAAAGCTTAACTTTTATATGGTCAGAACAGGTTTTCTGATTCTTTTATTATTTCAATGTTTAGGGGACTATTGCTACCTCTCAAGACTTATTTTATCTGTTTTAACTTTCTTTGGACTTGCATTTACTTTGGTGAGAAATATGGATGTAGTTTTCTACTGAGGTTATCAATTATCTACAGCCATAGTGTGAAGGACCAAGTACCTATTGGTAACTAAGTACTGTGCCAGGTATACTGACAAGGTTTCTTTTGTTTAATTCCCATAAAAACTTCTGTGAAGTTAGAGCTTTCATTTTACTAATAAAAAGAAATTCAGAAAGGCACCTGGGTGACTCAGTTGGTTGAGTGTCGACTCCTGATTTCAGCTCAGGTCATGATCTCAGAGTTGGGAGATTGAGTCCCCAGTAGGGCTCCCTGCTCAGCCAGAGTCTGCTTGTGCCTCTCCTTCTGCCCCTCCCCCCAACACACTCTCTTTCTCTAAACAAGTAAATCTTTCTCTTTTTAAAGAAATATTTATGCTCATATTTTACTGGTTTCATAATATTTAATTCTGTAATTACTGTAACAAGTAAAACAGACACAAACAAGTTTGTAAAAACATTACAACTTACTACTGATGAACATGTACCTTAAATGTTCTATGCCAAGTTCAGCAAAGACTGTGAAGAGCTAATACGTTTGTACTGCCTTAAGCACATCATTTATGATAAGCTGGTCTATTGAAATGAAGGTCCTGTCAGAATGCTTCCAATATACTGACTTAAGAAATAATACACAGGGCTAGTCCTCCAACTGCTCCTACCACTTCTACCTTATAATACTTGTAATAATACCTGAAATTTTGGAGGGAAAATTTTATTATCTTGGGATTTGGCTAAGGTTACAATAAATCTCAATTTATCCTGGTGAGTACTGACATCTAAACTTACTCTTTCCTTGCAGGAACAGAGAGATCTTAACATATTTATATGACATATAAAAATATGTATCTACTAACAGTTTTTTGCTTTTTCTTTCTTATCTGCTCTGCACAACTCGAGTTAGTTTTACAGAATGGAAAATTTGTTTTGCTACTACTGTAAATGGGATTATTTTCAGTGATCTTTAAATGTCAGTATGCAGAAGAATCACCTGAAGAGTTTTGCGACCACATATTAACAGGTAAGACTTCTAACAATTCTGACAGTTTGGGAGTGGTACACTGGCAAGAATCTGAGCTTTTAAAGTAAGTGTGCAAAGTGATTCTGAAGCAGGCAATGTAGTTACACAGCACTATTACTGACTTCTAACTGTTAGACTTCTAAGCAGATTCATCATAATTCTTCCAGGTAAAATATCAGAGTATTTGAAGTATTAGAAAATATTCTAATATCTTGCCTCTTACTCTTGTTGGCTCCATCTTTACATTGGATAAAACTTCCAAGACAACGTTATCAGTAGTATGAGCTTAGGTTTAACTGTGATGGGTTATGAATTATTCTTTTGGCTTTTACTTGTTAGCATTAAGGACTTGACATTTACTTTACCAAATGAAGAAGGTATGTTTGTTTATGTGAGAACAGGAAGCTAAGATATCTGTATCTAAATGAGAAAGGGGAGCTACCTGTTTCTGTCTTCATTTTGGTACGTTTGGAAGTTCTTTCTTCTTAAAGGATTAGAAAATTTACCTACGAATAAATCCAAATGATTCTGAAGCTCTTGATGGGATCCTTTTGTGACAACTCTTTCCTCCTAATTACTGGTCTGTTAGGATTTCTACTGCACAATTTAGATTATCTTATTTTTGTAATCAATACCTCATTTCAACGAGGTCTGCAAATTTAGAGCACTATACACCTTTGAAAATACCAAATCTGGGGCATCTGGGTGGCTCAGGCAGTTAGGTGACTGCCTTTGGCTCAGGTCATGGTCCTAGAGTCTCAGGAATCAAGCCCCATGTTGGGCTCCCTACTCATCGGGGGAGTCTGCTTCTCCCACTCCCTCTGCCCCTGCTCTTGTGTGTACTTTCTCTGTCTCTCTCACTTTCAAATAAATAAATAACATTAAAAAAAACAAAAACAAAAACAAAATACCAAATCTTCTATAATTATTATTATTCGGCTTGTAATTTCATTTTCTTCAGAATTATGCTTAAGGTGTACCTTATTTTTAAATTTATTCTCTTGCAAAGAATCAACCCCTGAATTTTTTTTGCATCAAAACCATCAGTTTTATGCTAATAAGTCCCCCCGCCCCCCGGCCACCTAGTTCACCTATTCAAAAAACCCTTAGGTTGAATACCACGGTAAAAAAAGTAGGGGCACATGGGTGGCTCAGTTGGTTAAGCGTCGAACTCTTGATTTCAGCTCAGGTCATGATCTCAGGGTCCTGGGATGGAGTCCTACATCAGGCTCCATACTCAGGGGGGGAGCCTGCTTGGGACTTTTTTTCCCTGTCCCTTTGCTCTCCTCCCCACACTTGGGCACAGTCTCTCTCTAAAATAAATCAATCAATCTTTAGGTTTAAGCAGATTGGGCATAAGTCTTATAGATGATTTAATGTACCATATCAGTTGTATCAATAAAGTCTTATACCATGTTATGCAAGTTAATTATAAAAACCGTCTCTATAAAATAGTTACTTTAAGAAAATCAGATTATGTGCTTTGAGTCCTGGAAAAACTGACATGGTGGGTTGCAGATCACAAAAACTCAAGTATAATTATAGTATATGGAATTACTGCTAATGGGGAAATGTAGATTTTTTTTTTGCTCATCCATGAAAATGTAGTTCTTGAAGCACTATTTATAAGAGCCTACTATTAGAGCATGGTGACTTCCTACAATTTGTCCTTTCAAAGCATCAACCTACTTAAAAGTTGTAAGTATCACTGGAATCACAACAAATCAATAAAGCTCTTATTTTGTTTCTCCATGGAGGTACTGCAGCAATTAATTGATACTTTCTCTATAGATCTCATTGACAGGTGGTCAAATTTTTCTGTTTCTACTAACATGTACATCAGAAGTATTAGAATTATTGAAATGAAATAAGCAAGTGAATGAAAATTGAGCCTTCACCATAGAAAAGACATTATATCAGGTGTTGTGGGGTTTCAAATGGTAAGACATGGTGCCTAATCCAAAAAGGCTTAAACAACTCAAAATGGAATTAAGTAATGAGAAAACATGTTAAGGAAGAAAATCTTAAAATTGGGAGAAACAGGATAGCTTGTGGAGAGCAGTATTCAAATGGGTTAGGAAGTAGAGAGGGAAAGATGCTCAAAGAAGGCACGCACAAGTGCGTATACAGGTAAAATATAGAACATGTGGTTTATGAAACTATCACCTGGAGAAAGCAGCACACAGAGCTCACATGTGGAGCTGGCACTGGGACTAGAGAGACAAATAGTCTTCAGAGCTTGCTGCTTAGTGTGAGAGAGGACATTCCCCCCGCACCGCCCCACTCCCAAAGGCTGCATATACAGAGAAGTATGCCAGGCTGATAGGAGACATTCCTGGGGGGTCCCGGACCATTTCCTGGGGAATGCTGTGGGAGAAGGAAGGCTGGTTCCAGACTATGAAAAGCCATTTTAAATGCTAGGGAGTGGGGGAGACAGAAGATTTCATGGGTAAGGAGAATATCCACAGTGAAGGAGAGTGCATAGGATGAGGTCCCATTTTAACACTCCAGATGAGAGTGAAGGCTTCTACAATTTCCAGGAGACAGCAGAAATACACTCAAAAACTCTAATGAATCATCCTTAAATAATGCAGAGGAGAGGGATCAACCGTTTGCATACCTTCTGGGCAATCATATTGCAGATCTCAGGCAGGAAGTCCTCACTGAGGAGCTTATAGAGCTGCCGTTCTCGAAGGGAGGTCCTCTCCCGAAAACTCTCAGTGACCTGTCTCCATTCTTCTTCTGTTTGGCACAGGAGCCACCAAGTGCCTTGACCTGGCCCTTGGGACCCTAGCAATGAAAAGGATGGGTTCATTAGATAAATCTCACTAGGACCTTTTTTCTTACTTACTCTCAATTTCATTTCTACCCTGGGTCATGGTGAAAATGAAGGAATCCAAAAAAAGGATTTTAAGGTTCATAATATATAATTTTGATTTTCCTGTTACTAACACCATTTACACCTAAAAATTAAGAATGCCTAATAGCAATACAACTATAACTACTGTGACCTTTGTAATTACATTTTAATATCCTAGAAATGCTTAAATACACTTACTTTTCAAATGGTTTTGATTTGCACTTCTGTGGAGTCTTCCTTGTCTCATTTCTGTTGACATACTGTAATGTGATACTACCTCCCTCCCAGTTTTATGCAATTTGGATTACAGAACTGAAATCTAGGTTAGGAAACCAATACACTCCCTTGAACAGCACTTTACATTAGAAAGATAACTCTTTGAGAAGATGCTCATTCATCCAAGGGTTTGGTGTCCATTCCACTGTGCCAAGGTCAGAGGGCACAAGGGAAGATCCCCAGTTATCAATGAGACGGAGAGAGGGGCACAGGTGAAGTGTGACCAAGAAAGAACTGAACAGGGCTAACAAGAAGACAATACTGCATTCATCTTAACTGCTTTGTAGGACTCTGGAAAGTGAACTGCCATCATGATATAAATCGATCATGTTTACTTAATCTTTTCTGAACTCTAACGAAAATCATTACCATTTCTTGTCTGTGGTTCAGATGCCAAGGAGTTTTCTTCTTGTTTTTCACTGAAACACGAGAAAAGGAGGCACCAATTAAAACAAAGACATGTTCAAAATTGTTCTGTGCTCTCCCCCCCCAACCAAGTCAGACCCAATTAATGTAATACATGGAGGGTGTTTGTTTCAAGGGGATGATGTTTGGAGGAGGAATGACTCTACTGAGTAAAGCAAAATCAGGAGGTAGGTGTGTTGGTATAGAGAGGGAACCCAATTAAATGCTAACATCCTATGTAACAGGAAAATATTAGGTTTCATAACAGCTTTTTGGAAACCAAATAGAGGAGTTAAGTATTAACAGTTAAATACCCCTACTTCCCCCCAAACTATGGGACTCTAATGTCCTCCTCCCTGATAAAGGCTATAATGAATTTAAGCCATACTTAATTTAACCTCCTATAAAGTAGCAGCTAAGAACACAGACTCTTAATGTCAGACTGCCCCTATTGAGACCTGCCTCTTACCACGTGACCTCGGAAAGTTAATTAACTTCCCTGTAAATGGGCTATAAATAATGCCTACCTATAGGGATGTTGAAGATTAAATTATTAAATACAAAAGTGTTCAGCACACTAGTGTTAAGCATCATTGCTGTTCGTATCGCTGAATCATGTAGGTGATCTGTACTTCTGTTTGTTTTCAATGATCTATAGCAGTACTGTTCCACAGAATGCTCTGTGAGAATGAAAATGTCCTCACTGTCGCTGTCCAACATCACAGCTATGAACCACAGGTGGCTACTAAGTACTTGAAATGTGGTTGGTATGGTTGAGGAACTGAATGTTAAGTTTTATTTAATTAAAAAATATATAAATACTGTACTGGATACAGAGCTCTACAGAATAAAATCACCAGTAGAGGGTAGTACAAGTCCATATATGCTGAAAATGATTTTATATTCCAACGCTAAGGTACCTTAATTGTTAGTACTTAACAGGGAAGTGGAAATGGGTCTAAAAAAACAGCTTTCTAAATCTGTAAGAAAATGGAGATTGCTAACAAAATCCTGCAACAGATGTCATGTGCACAGAACATGATTATAGGACACTTCTCATGAAATGGAGAGGAGGAAAGCCATACTCTGTAGTCAAATTTCTGGAAAGTTAAGTGAACACTAATTCTTAGATTTAAAAGAAAAAAAAAATCCTGACTCATGTATTTATAATCCAATTCCTAGAAACCAATACTTCTTAGTAATTAATAAGCAACAATAAGAAATCTGGCCTACTTCAAGCATTTAGATTTAGTAGTTCTACAATTTGGAGGGAAGAAGCGGTTAGTGCTCTGTTACTAGAAATTTTAAGAATATGACCTAACTTCCAGAAGGTATATTTATACACTGTAAGCCAGATCTTCAAAAAAAAAAAAAAAAATTTATTTTTAAAAGATTTTATTTATTTGACAGAGACACACAGTGAGAGAGGGAACACAGCAGGGGGAATGGGAGAGGGAGAAGCAGGCTTCCCACTGAGCAGGAAGCCCAATGCGGGGCTCCATCCCAGGACCCTGGGACCATGACCTGAGACAAAGGCAGACGCTTAACAACCCAGGCGCCCCTCAAAATTCTTGTATTGAGATTCATGTAGTGGAATTTCCTAAAAGATCATGCATAATGTATAAAATAAAATTTCTCAAATGTAAAAGAATCTTCTTCCTTGCTGAAGTTAAGTATAAAATAAAGAGTATAAAATGTTTAAGATATTACCTATTCTTTACCGTAGGAAATTTTATTCTAAATTCTAAATACAATAAAGCAAATGTGCTACTAAATTCTGCTCATAGGGAAAGAATTAACTCTTAAACTTATATGTGATATATAATCCTATTAAAATGCTAATTAGTGAGTGTTAATCAGAATTAACTTGCTCTGTACTCCAATGAAAAAAATGTGTGATACAACCAATTTTGAAAGTTAATATATATCGAGCACTTTCTGTGGGTCATCACAGTTTTCAGTCTGTTACACTGAAACATTCATTACCCTGTTCAATCTAATCCTTATTATTAGTAGTATCCCTATTGTCCCATAAAAGAATAGGCTTAGAGAGAGTAGGTCATGCAGATAGGGCTTCCTGAGTGCACATTTAGTAATTTCATGAGGATTCAGACCCCGGTCTCTATCATCGAAGTCCCATATCCTTCCCATGGCACAAGGGAAAATCAGGGATGAAAGAACAAGTGAAATTAAGGTGCCTTGTAAGCATGCAGGTTTATGAGTGGCACAGACCAACATGAATGTCTTACTTCACTAAAATTTCCTCCTGTAGTTTCTTCCGTTTTGGGGGTCTTCCTCTTCTTTTTCCTGTTTTCCCAGGAACAGCAGAGACATTTTTTTGTCCTTCACTTTCCCTAAGAAATAGTATATTAAATGAAAGTGTTTTGTAATAGAATTTATGCATTACATATGTTTTTTAAATTAACAACTACAGTTTTTCTGGTCATGAGTTCATTATAAAGGATTAAATGCACTGGTTATAGGGAAACAGCAGAATGACTTCCTGTCTTCTCTTATTAGCATAAGAAAAACCAACATTTTACAATATTAAAATCTGAGTATAAACTAACACACTTCCCTAATAGTTAATGAATAATGAATGAAGCCAAAATAAAGTAAGACAGCATCATCATCCTGGGACACTGTGGAACCAAGGTCTCCTCAGGAAGGCTCACATTTCAGGTATTCTTTAAGGGCCTTCTAGTCCTATACTGATGCAGCAGATCATTAATTCTAGTAGAAAAAAAGGAGTCCTCAAGAACTAATTACAAAAGGACAACTGCCGCTGTGAGTGACTACACAGCTGGTGACTTACTGTAGACAGTGGTCCGTGCTAAGGGCAAAAAGGACTCCTCAGGTACCTCAAATCAAGCACCTAATTTCCAAACAAGAAGATCTTTCACCACTCTGATAGCAGAGGCTGCGTTATGAATTATTTTTTATTTTTGTATGAAATAACTCCTTGCCAACTCTTGACAGGCATGCTGTTATATCTAATTCCTTCGTAAGAAAAAAAAATTTGTGCTGCAAAATTCTGATATATTTTTGTAGAGTAGCTATCACAACCCTGACCTTAAAGATTGTACCTGCTCAACAAGAGTTCTCCATTGGATTTTCCTTGCACCGGGTCCTCCTTATACATTCGTGTTCCATAGAAATACCAATAGAGTGCCCCTGAATTGTCTTCACCCAATGGTTCCACACGGAGACTGTCTGCATCCAAACCCTTGGTAGAAGAATAGGGAAAAGAGGTTTGGGGAAATAGGAAACAAAACAAAACAAAACAGGAGAAAAGTAAAATGAGGATTCAAAATTTATAGTCATATGTACCTCATATTTTAAAATGCCTAAGCATCTTAGGCAGCGTTCAATCAGGGCACATGAAACACAGAGAAAATGGGAAGATGGTACCTTCCTTGAAGAGCAGGATATGAAAATATTTCAAATACTTCCCATCCCCATCATTGCCCACATTTCACCAATAAAACAAAACAAAACAGGAAACAAAAAGGAGTTTTGAGGAACATATTATATATTTGGTTTGGACTTATGTGTGCATCAACAAAAGGAAAAGACAATACAACGGAGTAGAATCCAATGTTGTAAAAGCTTTGCCCCACGTGAATCTCTGTTATAGCACCCTCGTAACCTACAGTAAACTCTTATTCTAGCTGAGATCCAGCAATACAGCTCCCAAATTTACTGCAGGGTCTGACCTATTTTGGCCTTCCCACTGCTATTCAAGAACTTGAATTCTCAGCAAAGACTGTGCTTAAATTGCACAATGATTTTATACCGTGTCCATGAGAGGGCTGAACTGAGAAGTTGTCAACACATTTCATCATTTCTGACTGAACAGGATTAGACACTGACCTCCCTATGAGTAAAAAGCAATAGTCCACATCCTCCCTCTGAGACAGACTTCTAAAAGAGACAACAGTAGAATCAGAGGGAAGATATCTACATCTTCCTTCTCCAACACATATTTTGTAATGCATTGAGTATGTACATAGGTATATACAGGGATAACCTTCACTCACACGTCAGATGAAGTCATTATAGTTTACAATAAATATTTCAATTGTGCTAAATCCAATTTTAGACCTTAGGAAATAAAATTCAGTGGCTTAGTTGCAATTTTGGCCCATGACTGGGAGAATAAATAGGTACCTCTAACTGTTCCTTTGTCAGCTGGAACTCAGCCATGTAAAGGAAGAAAACCAAACTAGAAATTAAACCAAGATAACACACAATCATCTATCTAAATGTACGGCTTGGAATCCTTTGGCTACAGTGGTCATTGTATACATTTTTATTGTCAATGAATTCTGGCTTTTCTTATTATCTTCAGATTTTATATCCTGATTGCTGGCCTTTTGTTTGCTCTAGGAAAAGGGCTTATTAGTTAAGCACCTTGAGAAGATCGAAGACATCATCTGCATCTAGCCGATAATCACAGAGGCGGTGCAGGATTTCCACACGAGTACGAAGGGGCAGGTCTTGGAAACTGGCTTCTCTCAAAGGGTTAGGCTTCCCTTCTTCAAGCTCCCAGCGGTAGTTGATAATGTCCTCTAGGTAGCTGTGGAATGTCTGAGGCCTAAACAAATGGCCCCAAACACAAAAATACATTAATATAAAACACAGGGGATAAGTGGGAAAAGTGGAAAGAACTGGTAGTTTAACAGCTGACAAATCTTAAACAGAAAGCAGGAAATAAAAAAGCAATAATAGAAAGGGTCTGAAAGCCCCTATTGAAGTTCAATGCTATTGTACTATCTACTTGGACCAAATGCTGTCAAATTCCAAAGATGATAAATATGTTAAGAGGGTTTCTCACAGAATAGATCGCTTTACTTTAAACCACAAACAGCATATTCTGGTCAATATGTAAAATAACCAATGGTATAGATTGTGAAACTAAGGCAAGTCTTACCTTTGCTCATGCAATTAAAGAGACTATACAGTTTGAATGGACAGCAGTTCAAAACTAGGTCCACAACGTTTGCCCAGCCTAATTAATTATATTTCAAGTTAAGAATTAGAGGTCAAAAAAAGTTGTCTAGATTACAAGCAGCTACTTCAATATGCAAATATAATCTTACATTCTGTTACATAATCTTTAAGATTTGTTAAAAAAATACTGTATTCTTGGGGCGCCTGGGTGGCTCAGTGGGTTAAGCCTCTGCCTTTGGCTCAGGTCATGGTCTCAGGGTCTTGGGATCGAGCCCCGAGTTGGGCTCTCTGCTCAGCGGGGAGCCTGCTTCCCCCCACTTTCTGCCTGCCTCTCTGCCTATTTGTATAGGTCTCTCTCTGTCAAAAACAAAACAAAACAAAAACTGTATTCTAAATTTTGAAGATTTTTTTCTACAGGGAACATTTAAGACAGTTTGACGGCAACCTAAATTTTTCCTGATTAGTTTGACAGGCAATTTCATAACTTCATTTTGAGTAGTACCCAAATGTGCCTTGTATACAATATAATAAAGAGCTGTTTAGTTGTTAGATGATTATTCTCCCTCAACTTTTTTTTTTTTTTGGAAGTTTTTATTTATTTATTTGAGAGAGTGAGCAATTGAGAGAGAGAGAGCATGAGCAGGGGAGGAGCAGAAGGAGAGGGAGAAGCAGACTCCCCACTGAGCAGGAAGCCCAATGTGGGGGCTTGATCCCTGGACTCCAGAAACATGACCTGAGCCAAAGGTAGACATTTAACTGACTGAGCCACTCAGGTGCCCCCCCACCCCCGCCAATTAATGAATCTGGGTATAATCTCACCTATTCGTGACTTAAATTTTTTTTTTCCTCACTAAGCAAGGAGCTCTAAAGAAGCTACATGTTAATGTAATTTTAAAAAGAGGCATGTACCATGCTGAATGACAATCTGTGGTAGTTACATTTGCAGAAGAAGTCAGAGGAAATATTCATGGCAAAAAAAAATCAAAGAGCCTTATGCAAACAATAAATTAAACATTTTGATTTTCAAAGAGAGAAGAAACTACTTCCTTACTACTGATCCTTCAACTGGGGGGAAATGTGAACATGCTAGTTTACCAAGACGCAGCATAATGTCTCTAATATCAAGGCTCTCAGGCACCTGATTTGACTGCAGTATCTATATTCAAAGTCTGAGCACGGGCATGTGAATACCTGGCTTGAACCTTACCGGGTATGCACCGGCTTCCTCTCTCTACTGCCTACAAAGCTGGGAAGCTGGTGCTGCCCCTTCAGGAGGGAGGAGCTGGGCAAAGAACACGTCAAACTGGGAGTCAAAACCAGTGTGACAATGGTGAATTTGAAAATAAAATGGGGTGTATTTTTTAAATTGCTTTTTAGTAGCAAGGAGTATGAAGACAATAACTCTTTGGTAATACATGCCTTTACCACATGCATGCTACACTCTGCTACACTTTCTAAAGCACACCAAATACCCCAAGTAACAAGGCATGTTTTTCCTGCAGTAAAATAAAATATGTAATCTATAATATTGAGACAATTTTCAGAATGGCAGCTTTGCTGGGGGATGTGGCAGGAGGCAGGCTGGGTCAGGCTAGGGATAGGGAAAGTTCTAATTCTAGTGTGAGGCAAAGGAAGCACCAGCATACCAGTCCTGCAACACTGAATGTGTATAAACAGTGTTGTTCTTTGTGCCTACAATCTGTCTGAAAGCCTCTACTTGTCTCAAAGTGCATGTTTGAGATTCCTTTCCAATAGCCCTATTATCCTACTCGGTTTCAATTACATGGCTTTTGCGAAAGGTTTTCTTAAGACATCTCCATACTACCTTAACCAAGAGATACTTGAGGGCTTAGAATTCAAGATAATTCATTTTCCTTGTATAAAGATAAACCTCCTCATATAAATCTACATCCCTTTCTTCAAACATCAGAAATTCAAAGAGGGGAAAAAACTTCTAAGAGCATTTGAAACAAAAAGGCTGCAGGAAGCCAAAAATCAGGCTAACACTTTCTACTTGGTGGTTCTTAATCTTCTATATGACATAACACTCTTGGAATATTATGCCTCCATCAGAAAGGATGAATACCCAACTTTTGTATCCATATGAAGGAAACTGGAGGAGATTATGCTGAATGAAGTAAGTCGAGCAGGGAGAGTCAATTATCATATGGTTTCACTTACTTGTGGAGCATAAGGAATAACATGCAGGACATTAGGAGTAGGAAAGGAAAATGAATGGGGGAAATCAGAGTGGGGGACGAACCATGAGAGACTGGACTCTGAGAAACAAACTGAGGGTTTTGGAGGGGAGGGGTGCGGAGGGTTAGCTAAGCCTGGTGGTGGGTATTAAGGAAGGCACATACTACATGGAGAACTGGGTATGGTACACAAACAGTGAATCTTAGAACACTGAAAAAATAAAATAAAAAAAAAAATCTGATGAGGACCATATACTCTCTCACCCCGAAAAATGAGCACACACACAATTCTGTATGCACTTTCAGATTTTGCTACTCAAAGGAAGCAAAGGGCACTATGCTGCTGAAGACTACTGGAACATTCCTGACTTACTCATCTATACAGCTCAGTGCAATTCTCTCTTAATGACTAAAATACCTCTCATCTTTCCGAAATTATTTTGAATTATAATAAAATGTCTCAATAGAATATAGTTAACAGAAAGATCAAACTAACCAAAGGTTATGAACACATCCAGGTTCACTTTGTTTCTTGTCTGACAAAGTTCCAAATGCTTTAAAATTTAAAATTAAATGAAAAAAAATTTAAAATTAAATATTTTCCTTATCATAACTTGTGCGGGAGAGAGAGAGAATATGTGATTATCACCTTTCAAACTCCCAAAATTAGCTATTTCTTTTTTTTTTTAAGATTTTATTTATTTATTTGACAGAGATTACAGGTAGGCAGAGAGAGGAAGGGAAGCAGGCTCCCTGCTGAGCAGACAGCCTGATGCGGGGGCTCGATCCCAGGACCCTGGGATCATGACCTGAGCCGAAGGCAGAGGCTTTAACCCACTGAGCCACCCAGGCGCCCCCAAAATTAGCTATTTCTTAGAACTCAAGCACTATGCTTCTGAGAGTACATGCTTTTGCAGGTGGGACGAATGTTGACAAGGGTGGCAGGACCTCAGTAAAGTACGTAACACAAGTCTCAGCTGGCTGGAGCTGGCAGAACTCTTGACCACGTATCTTGTATTAACTGATCTCCAACCTACACTAAGTGATCACAGATGAAAAGAGGACTCTTGGGGCACCTGGGTGGCTCAGTCATTAATGGTCTGCCTTGGGCTCAAGCCATGATCCCAGAGACCTGGGATCGAGTCCTATGTTGGTCTCCCTGCTCAGCAGGAAGCCTGCTTCTCCTTCTCCCACTCTTACTGCTTGTGTTTCTTCTCCTTCTTTCTCTGTCAAATAAATAAATAAAATCTCTTTTTAAAATTCTTAAAAAAAAAAAAAAAGATTTGAAAATCTTTTTAAAAAAGATTTTCTTTGGGGTGCCTGGGTGACTCAGTGGTTAAAAAGCCTCTGCCTTTGGCTCAGGTCATGATCCCAGGGTCCTGGGATCTAGCCTCACATCAGGCTCTCTGCTCAGCAGGGAGCCTGCCTCCTCCTCCTCTCTCTCTCTGCCTGCCTTTCTGCCTACTTGTGATCTGTCAAATAAATAAAAATCTTTTAAAAAAAAAAAAAGATTTTCTTTGACAGAGAGAGAGAGAGCACAAGTAGGCAGAGCGGCAGGCAGAGGGAGAGGGAGAAGCCGGCTGGCTCCCTGCTAAGCAGGGAGCCAGATGAGGGACTTCATCCCAGGACCCTGGGATCATGACTTGAGCTGAAGGCAGCCGCTTAACCAACTGAGCCACCCAGGCAACCAAGAAATAAAATCTTAGAAAGGAGAAAAAAAAAAAAAAAGAAAGAAAGAAAGAAAAGAAAAAGAAGAAGGAAAAGAGGACTCGAGTTCTTTGAGGCCTGTGTTGGTTCTTTGAGACATGAAAGGCAATCTGTAGTCTACATGCAGGGGAACAATTTAGACAGTCATCAGGAGTAGCACAATGGAGACCTAAATGAAAACAACAACAACAACAAAACAAAACAAAACAAAAAACATTCCTTCCACTGCCTACAACTCTCTGTGAAGTAGATAAAATATGTGTGAACAGTTAAGCTACATGAGCACTGGAGTGAGAGAAAGATTTTGGTTCCAAGTGAAGCAAGAACTAAAAGGCTTTATAAGAGTATCTGATAAAGTGTTTATTCTTAAAGATCATAAAAAGACCCAGAACAAAAAAATTTAAATAACTACTCTTCTCTAGGGCCATGTAATGGCTGCTGTACTCAACATATCCTAAAATCATATTGAAAGCTGCAATCAGTTAAAAATCAGGGTAATATTAAATTAAAGAAAAATAGGACTAAAATACAAAATGTATCTCTTAGAAGAGAAACATATATATAATATAGATTTTATAAGACATTTATGAATGCTTATTTTGGGTAACAGAAAAGCACTAAAAGTCAACCTGAAATCAAAATGTAACCATCCTTTAAAAAGATGAAATACGTTTTTGAATGGAAGCCACATGGGAACCTAAATACTACTGGTATTAATTGGGAAAACTGAAGTGTCACG